ATATCTCTTCGTTTCTCCTGCAAAACTTTTTGCTGGGGCGATGCAGCCATGATTTGAAATTATGAATCGGTTCCTCAAATTCCTCTTTTTAGAGTTTGAGTCAGCCATTTAATTTTGCAGACTTAGCCTTTTATATTGGGAAGACTTGATTTCTTCTAATCCTGTCCCAACGTCAATTGGAAAGAGGGACTTCACACATTTTAGAGAAATATTTATTTATTCATAGTATTTATATACCGCTTTTCTCACCCCCGGGGGGGGGGGGGGCAAAACGATTTACACAGAGATTATGTCAAAATTCAGTGCCTTACATATGTAGTTCAAATCAAAAATTAACACGATATAAGTAAGGATAACATCAATAGGACAATTCACTATAAGATAAGAAAAAAGACATTTGAAACATGAAATATTAGAATTAAAACACCAAATAAAAACATTAAAATCACATGATCCAAGCACATAGACTGGGCCATTCCAATGTCGATTGCACATATTCCGTATTTGCTTCTTGTACTGTGTTACTTTACTAATCAAAAGCTTGGTTCCATAACTTTCTAAAGGCCAGGAGGGAGGGCACTGATCTAATAATGTTTATTTATACTCCACTTTTTGTCTCCACAAGGAGACTCAAAGCGGCTTTGTATTTATTATTAGTATTAGAGCGAATTATTATTAGACAGGGAGCTCTGGCGTCCATAAGTTCACAAAGAGTTGGAAGCCACTGAATGAATTAACAACAGCAATTAATATTAGAAAGTATTATTGTTATTATTTTAATTATTATGTTTATTTATACCCTGTTTTCTCTCTCCAAATGGAGACTCAAAGTGACTGTGTTTCTATTACTTGTATTAGAATATATTCTCAACAAGAAGACTCAAAGCAGCTGTGTATCTATTAATTAGTTCTCAACAAGAAGACTCAAAGCAGCTGTGTATCTATTAATTAGTATTAGAAGGTATTATTACTATTACTATGGTTATTTATACCCCTCTTTTTCTCTCCACAAGGAGACTCAAAGTGGCAATGTAATTTCCCTATTAATGTTTCCTTGCCCAAACCTTTCTTTATAGCTTAGTCTAAATCAGTGATTCATAACCTGTGGGTCCCCAGGTGTTTTGGCCTACAACTCCCAGAAATCGCAGCCAGTTTGCCAGCTATTAGGATTTCTGGGAGTTGAACCAAAACATTTGGGGACCCACAGGTTGAGAACCACTGGTCTAAATGCAGGGTGCGGCAACATAACTTCCTTTTTTTAAATGCACGCCATTCAGTTGTTTGAAGACGTAGCGGAGCACTAGTGGTCTCGTTCGAGAGGCGGGAGTATAAAGTTTTCTCCTGACACAGTTCAGTCACCATCATACATTGGAACAGTGAGGAGCGTGCTTTTGCCGTTGAGGCCTACTTTTCGAGCAGATGTTCTGTGATCGCAACCCAGCGCACCTTTCGGAATCGCATTAATTTAGCCCCATTAGCCCCTGTCCCGGACCAGAACTCTATTGTGACGTGGGTCAATACATTCAGACAAACTGCAAGTGCAACAAGATGAACTGGAGTCCCTCGGCCCATTAGAGCACCTGAGAACATTGAGGCAGTGAGAGCTTCAATGTTGCGATCACCACGGCGTTCTACGCGCAAACATGCGTCTGCCCTTAGACTTTTCAATCGTTCTGTGAGGAGAAATCTTCATGATGATCTTCATTTCCATCCTTACAAGATGGTGATTGTGCAGGAACTTTCTGAACGTGACTTCAATTCTCAGAGGAATATGTGTGAGGTTCTTCTCGAAGTCGTTCCTGAGGACGCTATTGTTTTTTTTCAGTGATGAAGCCCATTTTCATTTGTGTGGATCCATCAGCAAACAAAACATGCGCTACTGGGCTGACAACAATCCTCAAGAATTGCATCAAAGGCCTTTGCATTCACCTAAAATCACAGTGTGGTGTGCAGTTTCCTCAGCTGGAATTATTTGTCCCTGGTTCTTTGAGGAAAATGAAGTCGCAGTGACAGTGAATTCGGACCAGTATGTAAACATGTTACAGGAATTTCTTTCCCACGGCTAGATGGGTTGGACTTCGGGGACATTTGGTTCCAACAAGACGATGCAACTGCACACACTTCAAGAGCATCCATGGCTGTTTTGAGGGAACACTTCCCAGAGTGCCTCCTCTCAATTAGGGGGGATTTGGAGTGGCTGGCCCACTCTCCAGATTTGACCCCTTGTGATTTTTTTTCTATGGGGTTTTTTGCAATCCCGTGTTTATGTGAACCGTCCAAGTGTGCTACAAGATTTTAAGACCAATATCCAGGAAGAAATTGCCAAAATAATGCCTGCTACGCTGGCAAGAGTCATGACAAACGCCAGAAATCGGTTTACTCAGAGTATGGAGAATGCGGGATGTCACCTACCTAATTAGATCTTCAAAACTACGTAAAACAAAACTTTAGGTATGCGCCTACATTATAAAAAAATTCTGATTCATACAATGGGTTTTATTAAGTTTTGAAAAAAGGAAGTTATGCTGCTGCACCCTGTATTAATACATTTCTACGTTGCCCGACTTTTACAAAACCCAAGAAAGAGAACTTAAAGATAACATCAGTTCAACTTCATACACACACACACACACCCCAAATACTCTGTAACCTGCCAAATTTTAGCAGTGTCGATGCCAACGTTTCTGTCCCTGTGAAGTACACAGTGACCGCTCCAGAACTAAGGCAAAGCTGATTATCAATAAGATTATTTTTGAGCACAGAACCTATTTATAAATTAATAGCAACAGGAGCTTTTCCTGAATGCGCTGAGTACAAACCAAGCAAGCGACAAGTTTAGATTAACATTAGAATCTGTTAAAGATGCCAAAATCATCAATTGGAGCCAACTTCAAGGAGAACACTTGAAGACAGGCATGCGTACATCCAACCGTATTCTACTCATACAGTACAGACTAGACTAGAATGGAGGCTAAAAGTGAAAAACCGAGTCTTTCCTATCTGCCTTTCTCAACTAAACGCCCACCAATGGCATCGTCATGTTTACATAATCATTTGTTCTAATTATTTGTTGCCTTCGTTGGGATTCAGGTTTTGGGCATAGGTTTGCCTGTATCTCATGCAAATATGTTGATACCCCAACTCTACATGGGGCTGCTTTTGAAAATAGTCCAGGGTGGGAGAAAGAACTCTTGTCTTTTGGAGGTAGGTGTGAATGTTGGCCACCTTGATTAGCATTTAATGACCTAGCAGTTTCAAGGTCTGGCTTCTTATTGGCTGGGGGAATCATAGAATCCTAGAGTTGGGAGAGACCTGCTGGACTATCCAATCCAACCCCTTTCTGTCAAGAAGCAGGAAAATTGCATTCAAAGCCCCCCTGGCAGATGGCCATCTAGCCTCTGTTTCAAAGCCTTCAAAGGAGCATCCACCACACTCCCTCTGGGGCAAAGAGAGAGTTCCACTGCTGAACAGCTCTCTCTCACAGTCAGGAAGTTCTTTCTCATGTTCAGGTGGAATATCCTTTCTTTTCTGTAGTTTGAAGCCATTGTTCCATTGCGTCCTAGCTTCCAGGGCAGCAGAAAACAAGCTTGCTCCCTCCTCCCCACACATATTTATACACAGCCCTCATCCTGTCTCCTCTCAGCCTTCTCTTTTGCAGGCTAAACATGCCTAGGTCTTTAAGCTGCTCCCCATAGGGCTTATTCTCCAGACCCTTGATCATTTTAGGAACTCATCACACTGGAGAAAAAAATTCACTTAAAGTCCAGTTTCTGTCTCTTGTAGAATTCTGGGTTTTGTAGTTTAGGGAGGAGCCTTTAACAGCCTCACTGAACTATAAACCCCCAAATTCTGCAGGAGGCAGAAACCGGATTTTAAGTGGATTTTTTGTCTAGTGTGATGAAGTGGGTTAGTCGCCCTTTTCTTCTGAACACATTCCAGTTTAAAGTCAACATCTCCCCTCAATTGTGGTGCCCAGAACTGGACACAGTGTGGTCCGACCAAAGCAGAATAGAATAGAGCATGGCTAGCAGGACTTCCCTGGATCTAGGCACTAGGCTCCTATTGATGCAGGCCAAAATCCCATTGGCTTTTTTTTGCCGCTGCATCACATTATTAGCTCATGTTTAACTTGTTGTCCATGAGGACTCCAAGATCTTTTTCACACGTACTGCTCTCGAGCCAGGCATTGTCCCCCATTCTGTATCTTTAATAATAGATACATAGCCGATTTGAGTCTCTTGGTAGAGAACAAAAGCAGGGTATAAATAAAAATATTAATAATGTATTCTAATTTTTTTTGTCGTGTCAGGAGTGACTTGAGAAACTGCAAGTCGCTTCTGGTGTGAGAGAATTGGCCGTCTGCAAGGACGTTGCCCAGGGGACGTCCGGATGTTTTGATGTTTTATCATCCTTGTGGGAGGCTTCTCTCATGTCCCCTCATGATGAGCTGGAGCTGATAGAGGGAGCTCATCCACTCTCTCCCCGGATTCGAACCTGCGACCTGTCGGTCTTCAGTCCTGCCAGCATGGGGGTTTAACCCACTGCGCCACCGGGGGCTCCTGCATTTTAATATTAATAATAGATACATAACAACTTTGAGTTTCCTTGTGGAGAGAAAAAGCGGGGTATAAATTATTATTAATAATAATACATTGTAATACTAATAATAGATACATAGCCACTTTGAGTTTCCTTGTGGAGATGAAAAGCGGGGTATAAATAATAATAATAATAATAATAATATGTAGATAGATAGATAGCCTCTGAGTTTCCTTGTGGAGAGAAAAAGCGGGGTATAAATAATAATAATAATAATAATAATAATAATAATAATAATAATAATATGTTCTAATACTAATAATAGATATATAGCTGCTTTGAGTTTCCTTGTAGAGAGAAAAAGCAGGGTGCAAATAATAATAACAATAATAATAATGCTCTGTCAAAAGCCATGTTACTTTTTGATGTCCTCACAGAGCTTTTCATTGACTCCTATGTAGCTCTCCTCCAGCGAGTGGCCGAACTGGAAAAAGTCAATGCCGAATTCCTCCTCACAAAACAGCACCTCGAGCAAGAATTCAATCAAAAGAGGGCAAAATTTAAAGAGCTGTATCTCGCCAAAGAAGGTGAGGTTCAACATTTTCTGAATTGATTGTTAAAAAAAAAACGTGGAGTCATGAGCTATTTTTAATAGAGTGAGACAGAATTGCCAAGACTGTTTGATCACATTGGTAAGCTGATGTGAATTTCCTGCCTCGTGGTTATGACCAAGGTCCATCTATTTGACCAAACCCTCAAAACAGGACAGGGAGATGTTTCAACATGGAGCAGATTGTGTTTGCATCCAACACTTCCAGACTTTTGATGTGTGCAGGACACCTAACACCTGCGGATTAGGTTGATAGTATCTAGTTACACTTCCAGCTATATTTAGCCTGGCTACTTTGTACAGGAGTTTAGTAAACATCTCAGGAAGCAACAACAGTGCTCTCATGAGCTCTCTCCCCTCAAAGCTCTTCTACAAAAAGCTGTGAATTCCAGTTTTGGCTATGTGGATAGAAATACTATGTGTTGTTGAAGGCTTTCAAGGCCAGAATCACTGAGATGTTGTTGTGTGGTTTCCGGGCTGCATGACCATGCTCTGATTTTTCTCCTTCATTCATTTCTCCTGCATCTGTGGCTGCAATCTTCAGAGGATCTGATGGTAGTCAAGCAAGTGGAGGATATGTATATATCTATGGAATGTCCAGGGTGGGAGAAAGTACCATTGTCTATTAGCCAAGTGTAAAGGGTGCAATCCTGATTTGCAAGTGTTGAGTGGGATCAATGCACTAGCATGTGAGTAGCTATGAAGGTGGCATAGTCAGTTGCTGAAGTCATCTGCATGGAAGTAGCTAGGAGACACCTGGAGACATCAGCTCATTGGCCCTTGATTGCTTGCTACTCATTAGTCATCATCTTGATTCTAATATTTTTCAATACTAAATTTTGTTTGTTTTCAATTTCTTCCATTCTGTTGAAATTGCCCATGTGCTTGTGGAGTTCAATGGCTTCTCTGTGTAGGCTGACAAAGTAATAGATAGGTAGGTAGGTAGACAGATAGACAGACAGAAACATAGAGGCATACATACTGAGGGTTGGACTGTATGGACCCTGGAGTTCCTTCCAACTCTCGAATACTATGATTGATAGATGGATGGATGGATAGGTTCTGTCATGTTTTTAGTGGTACTATATGTCTTAATTGTATTTTTTTATATATGGGTGATGTTTATGAGTTATAATTGATATGTTTATTGGGGTTTATTTTTCTTCTGTGTATTGTGATTCATCTTTTGTGATTTGCTTGTTTTGATTTCACCGTTTTTGGATTGTAAGTGTGACTCATATTATGTACATTGTTTTCCCTTGTAAGCCGCCCCGAGTCCCCTTGGGGACAGATGGAGGGATATACATAAAGCTTTATTATTTCAAACACAAGATGAGTCCACAGCAAACAAGATCACTCTGCTGGCTTTTGTATTGGATCACACGTTGGACGCTTCCCAAGTGTCTAGGACTTTGTGATGTATCAGCAAATAATGTGTGCAGATCCCAGTAAGGTGGCCTTCTGCAGCTGGCAGATGGTAATTTTGTCAGCAGTGATTGTATTTAAGTGCAGGCCAAGGTCTTTAGGCACTGCACCCAGTGTGCTGATCAACAGCCCTTGGGACCCCCTTGACTGGCTTGTGCCAGAGTCTTTGCAGTTTGATCTTTCCAATTATTATTATTTGAAACACAACAAGACGAGTCCACAACAGATAAGATCACTCTGCTGACTGTTGTATTGGATCACGTGTCAGACGCTTCCCAAGTGTCTAGGACTTTGTGATGTATCAGCGAATAATGCGTGCAGATCCCAGTAAGGTGGCTTTATGCAGCTGGCAGATGGTAATTTTGTCTGCGCCGAATGTGTTTAAGCGCAGGCCAAGGTCTTGAGGCACTGCACCGAGTGTGCCGATCAACACTGGGACCCCCTTGACTGGCTTGTGCCAAAGTCTTTGCAGTTCGATCTTTAAATCCTCATATCATGGCAGCTTTTCCAGTTGTTTCTCTTCAAACAGGCTGTATTATTATTATTGTTGTTATTATTATTATTGATAGATGGGTGGGTAGGTAGATGGATGAATAAATGAATGGGCAGGTGGATGGGTGGATAGATAGGTGGATAGATAGGTAGGTAGATCGATAGGTAGATGGGTAAGTAGATGGGTAGATGAGTGAGTGGATGGATGGATAGATGGGTAGGTAGATGGGTAGATGAGTAGATAGGTAGGTAAATGGATATTTGGGTGGATATTTGGATGGATGGATCAATAGATAGATAGGTTTTTAATTGTATGTTGCCTTGGGCTTGGCCTCATGTAAGCTGCTCAGAGTCCCCTCGGGGAGATGGAGGCGGGGTAGAAAATAAAGTTGTTCTTCCTCTTCCTCTTCTTCTTCTTCTAGGAGAGTAGATGGGTAGGCAGATGGATGGATAGAGATGAGTGGATGGATGGATGGGTAGATAGATGGGTAGGCAGATGTATGAATGGATAGGTTGGTTGATGGATGGATGGATGGATGGATGGATGGATGGATAGATAGATAGATAGATAGATAGATAGATAGATAGATAGATAGATAGATAGATAGATAGATAGTTGGGTAGGTAGATAGTTGGGTAGGTAGATGGATAGATGAATAGATAGATAGATAGATAGATAGATAGATAGATAGATAGATAGATAGATACGTAGGTAGGTAGGTGGGTGGGTGGGTGGGTGGGTGGGTGGGTGGATAGCTAGTTAGATGAGAAGGTGGGTGGATAGATAGATTGATAGATGGATACGCAGATGGATCAATAGATAGATAGATGAGTGGTTGGTTGGATAGATGGATGGACAGACAGATCCACCTATCCCTGCAGGGAGTTGACTGAATAGCCCTTGGGTCCTCTTCCATCTCTAGGATTTCATGAATCTGTGAATCTAGCTTGCTAATTGCACCCTTTACTCTTGTTTAAAAGATAGTGGTTCTTTCCTCCCACCCTGGACATCATTCCACGGGTATATTATATATTCCACTTGCTTTACTTCATCAGATGCTCTAGAGATGTCAGCCACAGATGCAGGTGAAACATCAGGAGGAGAAAATGCTGCTAGAACCCATAGCCATACAGCCCGGAAACTACACAACTCACCAAATAAACTTTATTTTCTTTAATGAAACTCTTCTCTTTTTTTCCTCCTCCCAGAGGACCTGAAGAGGCAAAATACCGTATTGCAAGCAGCCCAGGATGACGTGGAGCAGCTGCGGTCGCAGCTCATGGAGGCCCAGGCCGAAATGGAGAACATCAAAGCCATTGCAACCGTATCCGAAAATACGAAGCAAGAGGCCATCGATGAGGTGAAGAGGCAATGGCAGGAAGAAGTGGCTTCGCTGCAGGCGATAATGAAAGGTAGGGCAGAGTAAAATAATGGAGGAACAAAACTTTAATTTGAGTGATCCCTCCGATCACACTATGTAACAAAATTTGAAAAATGTTCTGTTCCTGGTTCAAAAGTGTTATTTCCTGTTTAATTTGAAAATAGTTATACCTCAGAAATTTTGTTGTTTTTTGTGGCTGCCACAAACTAGGTCAAAGCGGTTGAGACTCTAGGGTGAGATACTGATTGAAAAATTATTGCAAAATGTCTTGCAGGATATCCCTCCCACAAATACAAAGTTTTCCTGTGTTTTAGTGATGTAGAACTAATTAGGAAGTGACATGTGTAACCCAGGAATAAATGCGTTACCTAATATAAAATTCATAGAAGTCTGTAGAGAATGGGATTAGACCACTGGATTTCCTATTTTCAGTTGCAAGGACAGGTTGCTCCACAATGAAGTCATCCAGTTTGCGCTGTTTAGAATGAGGTAGGCTCATCGTTTGAGGGGGTGGGGGGTCTCTTCCTCCTTAGAGACATGTTATGAAATTGTTACAGGCACTCATATCAGCTAAGTTATGGATCACTGTTTGTAAGACTTGTACAATAGATCACTAATTTTTTTTTAAAAAAAAACTGGAAGCTATAGGACTATAAAAGCTAAAACAGTAAAATGCTGCAGTAAGAAAGGACTCGCATGCTCAGCAGCAATCACTGGTTAGTGATAAATATAGAGGGCCTTCTCTGTGGTGGCCCCCCGACTCTGGAACTCACTCCCCAAGGATATCAAAGCTCCCACATTGGCAGTTTTTAGGAGGAGCCTGAAAACGTGGCTGTTCCAGTGTGCCTTCCCTGAATAAGGAAATAATGCCCTATTCTGATTAATTCTCTGCAATTGTTGTCAGAAGCACTTTACTACCCATTGGGTTGGTCTCCCTACATTATCTTTTAAAACCCTCCTTCTTAGATACATCCAACCTCTGTTCACGTCCAGTGTTTATTTTTTAAAAATTAATTTATTACATCTGGCCCGACCAAAAGGTTTTAAATTCTCTGTGTTATTGTTTATATGCGAGTTATATTAATTGTAATGTTTTATTTGCTTGCTGTTTTATTTTTACTGATGTGCTGTTGGGCTTGGCCTCATGTAAGCCACCCCGAGTCCCCTTGGGGAGATGGTGGCAGGGTATAAATAAAGTTTCATTATGTTATATTATATTATATTATATTATATTATATTATATTATATTATATTATATTATATTATATTAGAATTCTAGAATTGGAAGAGACCTGGTGGGCCATCCAGTCCAACCCCATTCTGTCAAGAAACAGGAAAATTGAATTCAAAGCACTCCCCACAGATGGCCATCTAGCCTCTGTTTAAAAGCCTCCATAGAAGGAGCCCCCACAACACTTTGGGGCAGAGAGTTCCACTGCTGAGCAGCTCTCACAGTCAGGAAGTTCTTCCTAATGTTCAGTGGAATCTCCTTTCTTGTAGTTTGAAGCCATTGTTATGTGTCCTAGTCTCCAGGGCAGCAAAAAACAAGCTTGCTCCCTCCTTCCTAGGACTTTCCCTCACATATTTATACATGGCTATCATGTCTCCCCTCAGTCTTCTCTTCTTCAGGCTAAACATGCCCAGCTCTTTAAGCCACTCCTCACAGGGCTTGTTCTCCAGACACTTGATTATTTTAGTCGCCCTCCTCTGGACACATTCCAGCTTGTCAACCTCTTCCTTCAATTGTGGTGTCCAGAATTGGACACAATATTCCCGGTGTGGTCTAACCAAGGCAGAATAGAGCATGGGGAGCATGACTTCCCTGGATCTCGCCACTAGACTCCTATTGATGCAGGCCAAAATCCCATTGGCTTTTTTTGCCGCCACATCACATTGTTGGCTCATGTTTAACTTGTTGTCCATGAGGACTCCAAGATCATTTTCACACGTACTACTCTCGAGCCATGCATCCCCCATTAGATCTCCTTCTAAGAGACATGACAGTGTTTTGATGAGCCTGTTCTCTAAAGAAAGACGACATTTCGGGGGTGATTCAACAAGCGATTAGCAACTTGTTATCGTTGTTATTAAACAGAAACTGTCCGTGACTATGAACACCAGTTTCATCACAGGCTGGAGCAAGAGCGAGCCCAGTGGAATCAATACCGGGAGAATGTGGAACGGGAAATCATGGAGCTGAGGAGGAGGCTGTCGGAAGGCCAAGAAGAGGAGAACCTAGAGAACGAAATGAAGAAGGTACATCAGTCAGGAATCCTTTTTGAACCATAAAATGTTATTTTTCAGTGGGAGAGAGAATCTCCGGTACTTCCAAAGAAAGACGTAACACACAGACTCCAATACTGGGTTTTATAATAGCTATATATGGGTTACAGAGACAAAGGGGAAGCATTACATCTACTCAACATTCGCTCACATACATTCAGCATTCATACTCACCATTCTTCATCATCCAGATGATCTGACTTCTTTCATTCATATTCCATTCATTCATTCACTCATTCATATTCACCACCTTTCTTCGTTCCATTGATCAGGCTTCTTGGGAGAAGGCGGGTGTTCAAATGTTGCATTCCTTGCAGATCTGGCACACTTTGGAAAAGGAAAAGTCTCTCATTTTTTTGTAGAACTTTCTGTTGTTGTTATGCATTTACTTGGTTGTTTAGGAGCGAACCAAGGGTACAGTTGTAATGTTTTTAAAAACTTGGCATTATACTAAATGTCCTTTGTCCAGAAGCTGACCACTTGGAGTGCCTCTGATGTTGCTATAAGTAGGTCCTCCATTGTGCATGTGGCAGGGCTCAGGCTGCATTGTAATAGGTGGTCTGTGGTTTGCTCTTCTCCACATTCGCATGTTGTAGACTCCACTTTGTGGCCCCATTTCTTAAAGTTGGCTCTGCATCTCGTGGTGCCAGAGTGTGGTCTGTTCAGCACCTTCCAAGTTGCCCAGTCTTCTGTGTGCCCAGGGGAGAGGTCTCATTCGGTATCAGCCAGGGTTGAGGTTCTGGGTTTTAGCCTGCCACTTTTGGACTCTTGCTTGCTGAGGTGATCCTGCAAGTACCTCTGTAGATCTTAGAAAACTATTTCTTGATTTAAGTTATTGGCATTTTGTCTGATATCTCAACACATGATGGGCCAGAGATGTCATTGCCTTAGAATCATAGAATCAATAGAATCAAAGAGTTGGAAGAGACCTCTTGGGCCATCCAGTCCAACCCCCTGACAAGAAGCAGGAATATTGCATTCAAATTACCCCTGACAGATGGCCATCCAGCCTCTGTTCAAAAGCTTCCAAAGAAGGAGCCTCCACCACACTCCGGGGCAGAGAGTTCCACTGCTGAACGGCTCTCACAGTCAGGAAGTTCTTCCTCATGTTCAGATGGAATCTCCTCTCTTGTAGTTTGAAGCCATTGTTCCGCGTCCTAGTCTCCAGGGAAGCAGAAAGCAAGCTTGCTCCCTCCTCCCTGTGGCTTCCTCTCACATATTTATACATGGTTATCATATCTCCTCTCAGCCTTCTCTTCTTCAGGCTAAACATGCCCAGCTCCTTAAGCCGCTCCTCATAGAGCTTGTTCTCCAGACCTTTTATCATTTTAGTCGCCCTCCTCTGGACACATTCCAGCTTGTCAATATCTCTCTTGGTCCTTTCATTACTGGCTGCTACTTCCTGTTGGTTGTCAGGTGGTGCAGTGCCAGCTAAACAGTGTGATTTCTTCAGTGGTGTAGGGCGCAGACAGCCTGTGATAATGTGGCATTTCTCATTAAGAGCCACATCCACTGTTTTAGCATGGTGGGATGTGTTCCACACTGGGCATGCATGCTCAGCAGAGTAGCAAAGCGCAAGGACAGTGTGTCCAGTCTTCACTGTGTCCAGTTGTGATCCCCAGGTTGTGCCGGTTGGCTTTCATATGATATTGTTTGTAGCGCCAACTTTTTGTTTGATATTCAAGCAATGCTTCTTGTCAGAGCACGGTCCAAGGTAACTCCCAGGTATGTGGGTGTGCTGCAATGCTCCAGTGGGATTCCTTCCCAGGTCATCCTCAGAGCTCGAGATGCTTGTCTGTTCTTCAGGTGAAAAGCACACACCTGCATTTTAGATAGATAAGGAATCAGCCGGTTTTCCCTGTAATAGGCAGTAAGAGTACCTAAAGCTTCGGAGAGGTTTTGTTCAACCATCTCAAAGCTCCCTGGTTGAGCGGTGATGGCATGATCATCAGCACAGATAAAACTCTCTGTCCCGTCTCGCAGTGGTTGGTCATTTGTGTAAATGTTAAACATTGATAGAGCAAGCATGCTCCCCCGAGAGGCCACTCTTCTGTCTTCGCCATCTGCTTCTCTAGCCCTGGAACTCAACAAAAAAGTTCCTGTTTTGTATGAGGCGAGTGAGGTGGTAGTCCTTTGTAATATTTTCATTTTTTCTTAGGACAAAGTGATACTTTACAGTGTCATAAGCTGCTGACAGATCTATGAAGACAGGTCTTTGACTTTGTAAACAGGTGTTGTTTACACCAAAAGTTCTCATTAGTACTTTCCAAGCCACAATTAATGAATTCCCCATAATGCCATGTTCAGGTTCCATTTATTTTTAGGATGGTGTCTTGAGCTTTGCCAGACCTTAATAGACCCTTAGCGACACCCCAGTCATACAGTTTCATTCAATCCATTCATCACACATCCATGGCTGAGGGTATTTAAATCGTGTATTCTGCTGTCGGATTTGAAACCCGTCTGTGAGTTTTCTTCCCAGCGAACTGGCAAGTTGTGTTGCGTATTTAATTCCTCGTCGTAGGTGCAGAATGTATTGTGTATTTGACCCGTGGGTTCAAGTTTCAAAGTGGAAGATCTCCGATTCATACTAGCATCACTTTCTTATTTTTTTCCTTTTGTGTGCTGAATTACTCGTGCATTATTTACGTTTTGGGCTCTTTGAAAGAAGTCTCTTCTTCCCTTTCTCCAATTTGCTTATGGCTCAAATCCTCTTGAAGGCCCACCTTGAGTAGTTCTGTCAAAATGACTGCAGCTTATTAGTGACTTACTTGTTATTATTTATTATGTTGATGTTTATTTATGCCCCCTTTTTGTCTCCACAAGGAGACTCAAAGCAGCAATGTATCTATGGTTAGTATTTGAATATATTGTTGTTGTTGTTGTTAACTCAAAGCAAGATGGCTGCACAGGTGGTTGCTGTAGTTGGGTGCATCTCCCCATGTGTTGTGTGATTCTGTGTTTTTGTTGTGTGTTCCTGCTTCTTTTGAGCACACCTTGTGAGGCAAGGAATTTTTATAGTCGGCAAGCTAGAGGTGTAACTATATTGAACTCCATGATTCCACATTGAGGTGGCATTGCAGGCTCTACAGCGGTGGTTGGTGAGGAGGGATGGGTGTGTTGCTTTTGTGATTTATTTATTTATCAGGAGTGAACCAAGGGTACAGTTGTAATGTATTTTAAAAACACAGTGTTTAAAAACTTGGCGTTCTATTAAATGTTCTTTGACCAGTAGCTGTCTACTTGGAGTACCTCTGGTGTTACCATAAGTAGGTCCTCATTGTGCCTGTGGTAGGACTCAGGCTGGATTGTAGACTGTGGTTTGCTCTTCTCCGCACTCGCATGCTGTGGACTTCACTTTGTGGCCTCCTTTCTTAAGGTTGGCTCTGTATCTCGTGGTGCTAGAGCACAGTCTGTTCAGCACCTTCCAAGTCGCCCCATCTTCTGTGTGCCCAGGAGGGAGTCTCTCATTTGGTATCAGCCATGAATTGAGGTTCCCGGTTTTAGCCTGCCACTTTTGGACTCTGGCTTGCTGAGGTGTTCCTGCGACGATCTCTGTAGATCTTAGAAAACTATTTCTTGATTTAAGGTATGCTGGCTGATATCCGAACAGAGGATGGGCCAGAGATATCACTACCCTTGGTTCTTTCATTATTGGCTGCTACTTCCCAGCGGATGTTAGGTAGTGCAATACCGGCTAAACAGTGTAATTTCTCCTGTAGTGTAGGGTGTAGACATCCTGTGATAATGCGGAATATCTCATTAAGAGCCACATCCACTGTTTTAACGTGGTGAGATGTGTTCCACACTGGGCATGCGTACACAGCAGCATAGTAGCAAAATGCTAGGGCAGATGTCCTCATTGTGTCTGGTTGTGATCCCCAGGTTATGGCAGTCAGCTTTCGTTTTTGTGATGTGTGCTAGTGAAAGCATTTAATTGCGTTGTACAATGTGCGATGACGATAAAGTTATTATATTATGTTTATTGATAAAGGTCCTTCAGTGTGACTGTGTGGTTGACTTTTTCCAGACATTTCACATAAGAGTTGCAGTAGAGGACCTGGAGATACCTAAAACAAATGTTTTCTGGGTGGCTGTGGAATTTCTGGGCTGTCTGGCCCTGTTCAAGAAGCATTCTTTCCTGTCGTTTCACCCACATCTATATGGCAGGCATCCTCAGAGGTTGTGAGTTATATTGGAAACTAGGCAAGGGAGGTTTATATATCTGTGGAAGGTTCAGGGTGGGGAAAAGAACTCTTATCTGTTGGAGCTAGGTGTGAATGTTTCCATTGGCCACCTTGATTAGCATTTGATGGCCTGACAGTTTTTAGCTGTGGCTTGTTACTCCCTGGGGGGATCCTTTGTTGAGAGGAGATCAGCTGTCTCTGATTGTTTCTTGTCTGGAGTTCCCCTGTGTTTGAGTGTTGTTCTTTATTTACTGTCCTGATTTTAGAGGGTTTTTAAAATAGTGGTAGCCAGAATTTGTTCATTTTCATGGTTGAAATTGTCCACATGCTTGTGGATTTCAATGACTTCTCTGTGTCGTCTGACATGGTGGTTGTGAGAGTGGTCCAGCATTTCCGTGTTCTCCAATACTATGCTTTGCCCAGGTTGGTTCATCAAGTGCTCTGCTATGGCTGACCTCTGGTTGGATTAGTCTGCAGTGCCTTTCATGTTCCTTGATTCGTGCCTGGGCAATGCTACTGCATTTGGACATCCCTTATTGAGACTTGGTAGATGCCTGCAGAGCTGAGAGGATCCCTCTTGTCCTTTGCTGAATGGAGCATTCGTTGGATTTTCTTAGTGGGTCTGTAGATACTTTGTAGGTTGTGTTTCTTCATCAGCTTCCCAATGCGGTCAGTGGTTTCCTTGATGTATGGGAAGACCACCTTTCCTCTGGGTGGATCTTTGTCTTGACTCTTGGTCTTGCAGCTCTTCTAAAGCCTGAGGTGGAGTCTCCATTGGCCTGTAAAGCCCAGTTGAGGTGGTTCTGTTCTCCTTGGAGGAGGTGGGCTTTGCAGATCCTTTTTTCACGCTCACAGGGCTTTCATTGGGCTTCTTTTTTGACTTGGGTGATTATTGGAGTTTTACAAATCCGTTAACAACCCCATATGCAAAAGCCAAAGCTGTTAAGAGATGCCACTCAAGCGGTGGATTCAGGTCCGTGTCACCTGTCTTGACAATAGTTCAATTTCTGCTTCAGGCTCAAGAAGATGCGGACAAGCTCCGCTCCGTGGTGATGCCCATGGAGAAGGAGATTGCGACTCTGAAAGAGAAACTGATGGAGTCTGACGAGAGGATAAAGGAGCTGGAAGCTTCAAAGGTGGGTGAAGACGATGTATATTTGTGTACATGTGTATAGGAAACTGATATATTACGTTTCTGGCATATCTGCAAATTCAACAAGCGCATCATGGAGGATGGAGAGGACCCTAGTTTACCCGTCTAAACTAGGGTCCTCTCCATAATCCATGATGCGCTTGTTGAATTTGCAGATATGCCAGAAACGTAATTAGCCATGAAGGATGGACTTCCTCTGCAACGCCGAGTCCTCCAGTTGGTCTTTGGTTGTATAAGTTTTGGTCAAACAACAAAACTATGGATTATTTGAGGTTGTCCCAGGGACAGCATTTCCTGTGGGTTGGCGGATCCTGTTCCATGTGACATTGTTGTTATTATTGCTTGTATTGTTGCATTTGGGCTCGGCCTCATGTAAGCCGCACCGAGTCCCTTGGAGAGATGGTAGCGGGGTACAAATAAAGTGTTATTATTATATTATTATTATCATTATCATTATTATTCATTTGTGGTGCCAAGAACTGGACACAGTATTCCAGGTGTGGTCTAACCAAGACAGAATAGAGCCTGGGTATCATGACTTCCCTGGATCTAGACACTATGCTCCTATTGATGCAGGCCAAAATCCCATTGGCTTTTTTTGCCGCCACATCACATTGTTGGCTCACTTCAATCTGACTCACGTCAACTATAAAACCCGTCATGCAGACCAGTCAGATGTGGTTCCAACTAGTACACACCCACCCCCTTGTGTTATTCGGCAGGTTAAACTATTGCATTTTTAATTTCCTCGTTTCTAGTGTCTGGTTGGAAATAGAGACTAGGGATTTTGGGGGACATCGAGCCTCAATATTTTGAAGGTGGTTCTCATCAGGCAAACCGCAGCCTCTCTAATGCACGGCGATTGAAAGCAAACGCATGCGTTCACCATAAATTTTCTTTCTTTCTTTCTTCTCAGGTGAAAGAACTGAATCATTATTTGGAAGCTGAGAAATCCTGTAGGACTGATCTCGAAATGTACGTGGCCGTCCTGAACACTCAGAAGTCAGTGCTGCAAGAAGATGCCGAGAAGTTGCGAAAGGAGCTTCACGAAGGTATAGATCCACACCCCGCATCCTCACAGAACTGTTCAGATGGCATCATTACTCAAGGCTAGAGATGGGAAGGCCTGGGGAAAAAAACATAGAAAAATTGGGAAAATTGAGGTGCGCCTTAGATTCGTATTGACTTGAGTCAATACAGGTATAACCTTTTCTAAAGCCTGTTCTTGTCCCTTGTTTTCCCCCTTTCCCTGCGCAGTCTGCCGCCTGTTAGAGCAGGAGCGGCAGCAGCACAACCAGCTGAAGCACACCTGGCAAAAGGCCAACGACCAGTTCTTGGAGTCCCAGCGCTTACTGATGCGGGACATGCAGTGGATGGAGCGGGTGCTGACCTCTGAGCAGCTGCGGCAAGTCGAGGAGCTCAAGAAGAAAGACCAGGTCGGTCGCCGTCTCTCTGTGGCGGCCTTTGGCTCGATGATGGGAGTGTGTCAGAAGAAGGGGGTTGCGCAGTTGGGGAGTATTTGCCTCTAGGACGCTTCTTGTATATATTTTTTATTGGGGTGTTGTGTGGTTTCCGAGCTGTATGGCCACAGTGATCTAGCAGCATTTGCTCCTTTTTCCATTTTCCTTGCATTGTTTTCTGGCATCTTCAGAGGATCTGATGGGAGTCAAGCCAGTGGAGTATATGCTGTATATACTCGAGTATAAGCCTAGTTTTTGAGCCCCTTTTTTAGGCTGAGAAAGCTCCCCTCGAGTCAAGGTTATTTATTATTTTACTCTGTTATTACTTTTGTTTTTATTACATTTATTATTTTACTTTATGACACTTTATGCAGTCATGCCAACGGCAATCTTGGAGGAATCTATGAACAACGCCGGCTTTGGCTTAGAAATAGAGTTGAGCACCAGAGTCCCAGAGTTGGAAACGACTGGACTTCATGTCAGGGGAAAACTTTCACCTTTAGTAATAATAAGAAGGTAAAGGTTTCCTCTGACATTAAGGCTAGTTGTGTCCAACTCTAAGGAGTTATGCTACCCCTCTATTCTGCTTTGGTTAGACCACACCTGGAATATTGTGTCCAATTCTGGGCACCACAATTCAAGAGAGATATTGACAAGCTGGAATGTGTCCAGAGGAGGGCAACTAAAATGATCAAGGGTCTGGAGAACAAGCCCTATGAGGAGCGGCTTAAGGAGCTGGGCATGTTTAGCCTGTAGAAGAGAAGGCTGAGAGGAGATATGATAGCCATGTATAAATACGTGAGAGGACGCCACAGGGAGGAGGGAGCAAGCTTGTTTTCTGCTGCCCTGGAGACTAGGACGCGAAACAAAGGCTTCAAACTACAAGAGAGGAGATTCCATCTGAACACGAGGAAGAACTTCCTGACTGTGAGAGCTGTTCAGCAGTGGAACTCTCTGTCCCGGAGTGTGGTGGAGGCTCCTTCTTTGGAAGCTTTTAAACAGAGGCTGGATGGCCAGCTGTCAGGGGTGATTTGAATGCAATATTCCTGCTTCTTGGCAGGGGGTTGCACTGGATGGCCCATGAGGTCTCTTCCAACTCTACATTGAGTTTTCTCATAGAGAGAAAAGGTGGGGTATAAATCAACATAATAATAATAATAACAACAACAACAACAACAACAACATCTAATACAGCAACCATCATAGTGATCTTGTTTGTTGCGTACTAATCTTGTGTTTATAATAATAATAATACATTCTAATACCAATAGAATAATAAAACCCTAGAGTTGGAAGAGATCTCGTGGGCCATCCAGTCCAACCCCCTGCCAAGAAGCAGGAAAATTGCATTCAAAACACCTCCAACAGATGGCCACCCAGCCTCTGTTTCAAAGCCTCCACTGCCGAACAGCTCTCACAGTCAGGAAGTTCTCCCTAATGTTCAGGTGGAATCTCCTTTCTTTTCTGAGGTTTGAAGCCATTGCTCCATTGCCAAAGCCAGCCAACTTTTCAAGAAGGCTGTCCTCCTCCTCCTCCTCCTCCTCCACTCTAACACTACAAAGAAATTGCCAACAAGTTAAATAACTAGTGACTTGCTCATTGGGAACCAGCATAGTTTGAACACTCCTCAGCCATGGAAACTCCTGGGTGACTTTGGGAGACATCTTTGGTATACGTTTCCTGTTCTAGAACAGATGATGCTTGAAGCATATATAAAAAGAAATGCTTTTGTTGACTATTGGTTGTAGGAAGACGAAGAACAGCAACGATTGCACAAAAGGAAGGAAGACAAGCAGAAAGGCACCGACGAGGAATCGAGAGTGGTGTGTTGCTCCGTCGCTCATGACGAATCCCTCCCTCGGTTCCCCGGCGAAGAGGTAAAGCCAATTTGCCTGAAATATATTTACTTTCTGTTGGGGAGTTTTGTCTTTTCTTGAGATATCTCTCTTTTTCCTTTTTGACTTTACAAAAAAAAATTATTTCATTTTCACAGTTTTGTGACAAAAAGAAAAAGGGGGGAAAGGAAGGAAGAAAAAAAGGGGGGTGGAAGATAGGAGAGGGGAAACAACATGTCGGTTACGGAGTTTTGTTAGTACTGTAAATTAAATCTACACAGGAGTCTATTGTGTCACCGAGGATGTGATTGTTGTACATATTCTCTCACATGTAAAGGAATTCCATCTGCAATATTTTCTATTGCAAAGGCAAGTAGATTCTTATCATCTGGCAGTCGTAATAGTCTTCTTCCACAACCCCCACTATAACGAGCATTCCTCCACAAATAATTTGTTTTCTCTTTTATCTCACCCAACTTTTTAACTAGTTTTAATTAGTTCCTCTTTTAACCATTACATGTAGCTCGCCCATTGTCACTGTGTTTGTGTTTACTGTAATTATATATTGTTATGTATTCACATGTTTTATGTAATTATGTAGTTGTTTATTGTTTGCACTTTCGGTTTGCGTTTTCAGTTTCTTTTTATTGCAATTGTTGTTTGGGCTTGGCCTCATGTAAGGCACTCCGAGTCCCCATCGGGGAGATCATGGCAGGGTATAAATAAAGATTATTATTATTATTATTATTATTATTATTATTATTGTATTTTTTCTTTTTCTTATCTTCTCCTCTCTTCTCCAGTTTTTTCTTATCTTCTCCTCTGAGCCTGTAAAATAAGAGTTTCTTCTTTTTTTAAAAAGAAATTTTATTAAATTTTATATAGAATACAACGAAAGAGTGAGAACAATTAGGTATTTATTTGTCGTGTCTGGGCAACCAGTCGATTATATTACATTTCTAACAGAACAAAGCAAACAAACAGACAAAATACAAAATGTGTGGGTTTGGGAGTTGATTAAATGTCCTTTGACCAGTATCTGGCCACTTGGAGTGACTCTGGTGTTGCTGCAAGAAAGTCCTTCATTTTTATTTTTATTTTGTCGTGTCAGTAGCAACCGCTCCTGTTGTGAGAGAATTGGCCGTCTGCAAGGACGTTGCCCAGGGGACGCCTGGATGGTTTTTGATGTTTTATCCTTGTGGGAGGCTTCTCTCATGTCCCCACATGAGGAGCTGGAGCTAATAGAGGGAGCTCATCCGCCTCTCCCCGGATTTGAACCTGCAACCTGTCGGTCTTCAGTCCTGCCGGCACAGGGCTTTAACCCACTGCGCCACCAGGGGCTCGGTCCTCCATTGTGCAAGTGGCAGGGCTCAGGTTGCATTGCAGCGGGTGGTCAGTGTTTTGCTCCTCTCCACATTTGCATGTCATGAATTCCACTTTGTAGCCCCATTTCTGAAGGTTGGCTCTGCATCAACAGAGCGCAGTCTGTTCAGTGCCTTCCAAGTCGCCCAGTCCTCTGTGTGCCCGGGAGGGAGTCTCTCATTTGGTCTCAGCCATTGGTTGAGGTTCTGGGTTTGTGCCTGCCACTTTTGGACTCTCGCTTGCTGAGGTGTTCCAGCGAGTGTCTCTGTAGATCTTAGAAAACTATGTCTAGATTTAAGTCGTTGACATGCTGGCTGATACCCAAACAGGGGATGATCTGGAGATGTCTCTGCCTTGGTCCTTTCACTATTGGCTGCTACTTCCCGGTGGATGTCAGGTGGTGCAATACCGGCTAGACAGTGTAATTTCTCCAGTGGTGTAGGGCGCAGACACCCCGTGATAATGCGGCATGTCTCATTAAGAGCCACATCCACTGTTTTAGCATGGTGAGATGTGTTCCACACTGGGCATGCGTACTCAGCAGCAGAGTAGCACATAGGTATAGAAAAGTAAAGAAAAAAGAGAGAGGGAAAGGCCAATGGAGTAAGAAGTGAAAAAGATATCCTAAATAAAACCCTAAAAAAAAAAAACTACAAAAATACATCCACACAAAAAAAAATAGAAAAAAGAAAAGAAAAAAGTGACTTCCATTCGATCTTCTTGGATAAAATATTCTTACTATTCAAAACTATTAAAAAAATATTTAAGATAATAAAATTGTCTCTCTTGTTTTTTATATTTGCAAATTGTTCAGGTAGTCATGAAGATTGTCCCAATATGTTCTTTTTATTATCATGCCTGTATTTTTCTTCAACAAAAAAGTCAGTTTGTCCATGTTCTTTATTTCTCTGATTTTTTTCCACCCAATCCTGTACGGGTGGTACTGAGTTTTGCTTCCACTCTCTAGCGGAAACAATTCTAGCGGCGGTCGTAGTTTATGTAAAAATTTGTCCTCTTGTTCCGTCAATTGTAAATCCAAATCGGTAAAGCCTGAGTTCTTTCTGATTATTTTATCTTGTTTGCTTAGACATACTCTTTTTTGCCCCTAGTTTTAGTAATATCCATCCACTTACATATCGCAGATGATACGGCCCAGAAACTACACAACGTCCAAGGGGGAAAACACACTGTGCACTGAGGCAACAACACCCCATTGATTCCAGCCGTGAAAACCATTGACGATACAATGAAAACCTTGCTGGTTTTGGTGTTTTCTAATACGTAATCTTGCAAATCACAAAGGAGTTCCTCCTTTCCGCATTCCAGGTCCATCTAAACAACAGCGCCCACGGTTCAGTCCACTCCCTGGATACGGACGCGCTGCTGTCTTCGGGCGAATCCCTCAAGTCGGACACGGACCTGTTCAAAGAGGGCCTACGGCGGGCGCAGTCGACGGACAGCCTGGGGGCGGCCTCGGGGGGCTCCCTGCAGGCCAAAGCGCTGGGCTACAACCATAAGGCCAAGTCGGCCGGGAACCTAGACGAGTCCGACTTCGGGCCGCTGGTTGGCGCCGACTCGGTGTCGGAGAACTTCGACACAGCCTCCTTGGGGTCGCTGCAGATGCCCGCGGGCGGGTTCATGCTCACCAAGGACCAGGAGAAGGCCATCACGGCCATGACGCCCGAGCAGGAGGAGACGGCCTCCCTCCTCTCCAGCATCACCCAGAGTGTCGAAAACACTTATGTGTCTCCCAGCGGATATCGTTTAGTGAGCGAGATCGAGTGGAATCTGCTCCAGAAAGAGGTACACTTGGTTGAGTGTGTGTGTGTATTTGCCTTAGCATTTAGTCAAGGTATGGGCCAACTTAGGGTCCCCCACCAAGTGTTTTGGACTTCAACTTCCACAATTCCTAACAGCCTACTGGCCCGAAGTTGGCCCATGCCTGGTTTAGTCCATGAACAATTAGCACTGAATTGAACAGCAAGAAGGCTTTATCATCTCTTGTAGTTCACCTCTGCACAACAACACGAACCTCTCCTTCTTTCTACTTACAATAAAATACTTCAACATCTGTTTCCCCAACAAAACAGCAACAACACCAACTCACACAGTGCTCCATTTGCTATCCCAATGTGTAAAAATACAATTGACGTATACAAATATCACCCAATCAACTACTGCATTACTTTGTAATATAATAATAATTATTTTTGTTGTGTCAGGAGCAACTTGAGAAACTGCAACTCGCTTCTGGTGTGAGAGATTTGGCCGTCTGTTAATCCCACAAACGAACATTACATTTTTATATAGATGGTAGTTCTCCCTCCCAGCTCTGTTCTTCAGTTTGGTTTCTCTCCATTCCAAAACAATTGTCTTGTGCAGTTTTCCCCCTCCCATTACTTCCAGGTCATTCTCTTCTCTCTCCACCTTTCACACACTTTGCCCAGAAATCCTATCTTTTCCCAATCCCTTTCCTCTTTCCACTCCCTCTGCCTCTCTCTTTAACCCATTGTCAAAACTTTTCTCCTTGCGAAATGCACACTCTGTTCTCCGCAGGTGCAGAATGCCGGGAACAAACTGGGGCGGCGCTGCGACATGTGCTCCAATTACGAGAAGCAACTGCAAGGGATACAGATCCAGGAGGCCGAGATGCGGGATCAGGTTGGTCCATTTAGAACAGCAATTCTCAACCTGGGGGTCGGGACCCAGGCGGGGGGGGGGGTCATGAGGGGGGTGCCAGAGGAGACACCAAAGTAAACACAGTATTATCTGTTGGTCATGAGAGTTCTGTGTGGGGAGTTTGACCCAATTCTATCATTGGTGGGGTTGAGAATGCTCTTTGATTGGAGGTGAACTATACATCCCAGCAACTATAGATGGCAAATCCTCCCACCAAAAGCCCTCCTTGACTGTGATTGTAGGTGAACTATAAATCCCAGCAACTACAACTCCCATGTCAAGGTCTGTTTCCCTCAAACTCTACCAGTGTTCACATTTGGGCATTTGGGCAGGGTGCCTCGGCTAAAGGGTCCCATAGGTTTCCCAACACAAGGTTCTATAGAGGCTCAGAATAGGTTCAACAAAGTTCTTTAATAAGGCTTAAATCTTCGAACAAATGAATTAAATGCTTTATAATCTTGAAAAACTAGTCGCCTTCTCGATCTGCCAACAAGGGACAGGCAACTGCTTGATAAACAGTTCCTATCTTTAGGAAAACCTTCCAACCTCTCCTTGGGCAATCTTTCTTTACCCTGCTGGCGTGAGGCCCCAACTCCCTGCTCCAAGCTGCGTTATGGATAGCCCAAGTGGTCCCTTACCAAGCAATGGTTGCTGTAGATCTGCCAAGCTGGTGTCCTTTAGTTTCTCCACGAAGGCTGTATGAACTATTTCTTTTGCCCCAGCAAAAGCTGTGAGACCTTTCCTATTTTTCCCCAGCAAAGCTGGCTGTAGATCTGCTTCTTTAACCCCAGCAAAAGCTGTAGAGTTGAAGCTTTTTGCAGGTGGGGCAGAGAAAAGCCCACACGTCCTACTGTAAGACTCCAAACTGTGAGACTGAACTAAAAGTCCCCTTTTCCCTCCAAACCTGGAGAAAGGGGCAGATCTAGAGGCTCTAACAATGATTGATAGGTTGTTGGCCCTATGACTGCAACCTAGGAAAAGCTACCTAATTGCAAAATGCATGGCCCAAATGAATTCAAACAACTAACAGTGCAAGAAAAAGAATCAAATCTCCTGGCACAGCCGTGCCAGCACAGGCATATTGAATATCCATGCCAAGTTTGGTCCAGGTCCATCAAGATTTGAGTCCACAGTGCTCTTTGGATCTAGGTGAACTACAAGTCCCAAACTCAAGGTCAATGCCCACCAAACCCTTCCAGTATTTTCTGTTGGTCCCAGGAGTTCTGTGTGCCAAGTTTGGTTCAATTCCATCATTGTTGGAGTTCAGAATGCTCTTTAATGGTAGGTGAACTATAAATCCCAAATGACAAAATCACTCCCCCCCTCAACCCCACCAGTATTCAAATTTGGGTATATCGGGTATTTGTGCCAAATTGGGTCCAGTGAATGAAAATACGTACATCCTGCATATCAGATATTTACATGATGATTCATAACAGTAGCAAAATTACAGTTATGAAGTAGCAACGAAAAATAATTATGGTTGGGGGTCACCACAACATGAGAACTGTAGGAATGCAATAGGAAGGTTGAGAAACACTGCTATCATTCCAGTGTAGGGTCGGGAAGTCTTTCAAACAGGATACACATGTTTTGCTGCTATTGTTATTTACAGGTGTAAAATGACCACAGTTAATTGGTGGCATGGCATACCAATAGTCATGTTATAAGGTGTACCCTTTGGAAATGTCAAAATATGTCCATTTCTCCACGTAGGTGAAGAAATTGCAGGCAATGCTGCGTCAGGCCAACGACCAACTCGAGAAAACGATGCGGGAGAAGCAGGAATTGGAGGAGTACATGAAGCAAAGCACCGAAGACTCGGAAAACCAGGTACAGAGAGCAGGGACAGGAAGGGAAGGGAGTCCAGGGCCTGTGGCTTGAGGATTTGGCTTGGCTCGAGGCAGGTTACTGTAGAATTGGAACACATAAACATTGGGAGGAAAATCTAGAAATACACATATTGAGATATATTTCTATGAAAGAGAGATATTAAAACGTAGTTCTATAAGGTAAGGTAAGGAAAAGAAAGGAAGAAAGGAAAGGAGAAAAAGGTAGGGGAGGAAGGAAAAGAAAGTGAAGAGAAAGGAAGGGAGAAAAGAGGATGGGGAAAGAAAGAAAAAGGAGGGAAGAGAAAAGAAAGGTGAAAAGGTATGAGAGGAGGAAAGCAAGGGGGATGGAAGAGAGGGAGGAGGAAAGGAGGGAAGGAAGAAAGAAAGAAAGGAAAGGGGGAAAGATAGGGGTAGAAAGGAAAAGAAAGCAAAGGAGATGGAAGAGAGGGAGGGGTAGAAAAAAAGGAGGGAAGGAAAGGGGAAAGTATGAGGGCAGGAAAGGAAAAAGAAGGAAGAGAAAGGACGAAAAGAGGAAGAGAGTGGAGATGAGAGAGAGGGAGTGAGTGAGAAGAAAGAAGCATGAGAGAAGAAAAGGGAAAGGGGAAAGGTATGAGGGGAGGAAAGGAAAAGGAAGGGAGAAGGAAGAAAGGTAGGGGAGAGAAACAAAAGAAGGGGGAAAGGAATGAGGAGTGCAAAGGAAGGAAGGGAAGAGAAAGAAAGGGAGATGGAACAGAGGGAGGAGGGAAGAAAGAAGGAGGAGGGAAGGAAAGGATGGAAAGTATGTGAGGAGGAAAGGAAAAAGAAGGAAGAGAAGACAGAAGGGAAAGAGGAGTGAGGGAAAGATGAGGGAGGGAAGGAATGAAGAGAAAGGAAGGGAGAAGCAAGAGGGAGGGTGAAGGTATGAGGGAAAGAAAGGAAAAGTATGAAAAACGGAAAGAAAAATAAAGGAAGGGGAGGGAAGAGAGGGAGGGGTAAGAAAGAAGTAGGGGGAATGGGGAAAAGTCTGATGAGAGGAAAGGAAAAAGAAGGAAAAGAAAGAAGGGAAAGAGGAGTGGAGACGGGAGAAGAAATAAGGTGGAGGGAAGGAAGAGAAAGGTAAGGAGAAGGAAGAGAGGGAGGAGGAAGAGGGAAGGAAAGGGGTAATATGAGGGGAGGAAAGGAAAAAGAAAGAAGAAAGATGGGAAAGAGGAGTGGAGGAGAGAGGGAGAAGGAGGAAGGAAGAACAGAATGAAGAGAAAGGAAGGGAGAAGGAATAGAGGGAGGGGAAGGGTATGAGGGGAGGAAAGGAAAAGTAAGAAAAGAAAGAAAAATAAAGGAAGAGAAAGGAAAGAGGGAGTATGAGGGGAGGAAAGGAAAAAGAAGAAGAGAAGGGAAAGAGGAGTGGAGAAGAGAGGGGAGAAAAAGAAAAAGGAGGGAAGAGAGGAAAAGGTGTAAAGGTATGAAGGGAAGGGAAGAGAAAGAAGAGATTGAAAGCAGAGGGGAAGTGGTTCCAGTGAGACCTGGACAACACGAGGTATATCGGTTAGTAACATGTTTTTTTCAGAAAGGGGAGAGAAAGAAGCATTTGTTTGTCTTCCTTATGGCATAATGGCAGCTGATAGCGGGGTTTTCTCCTTTTTCTCTCTCTTTCGACAGATCGTATCGCTTACGACGAGAGTCCAGGAGTCGGAGTCCCTGCTTGGCGAACTGCAGCAGGCCTTTTCCCAAGCCAAGAGAGACATCCAGGACCAAATGGTAAAGACATGTCAACTTTTCCGCAAGCTAGGTTTTGAGGTTCTGTCAGGCTGCATTGTTGTTGTTTCTCCTATATATTTATTATTCTTTTTTTCTTAGTACTATCGCACTTTGGTCCTGTTACCACCGGAGGATCCTTGCCTTTCATATCCTGTCATGGTGGCATTCTCAACCCTCATTTGTTTGTTTATTTGTTTCTTCCCGAAGGTCGTCCTGACCCAGTCACGGGAACACGTCTCGGAGGAGCTATCCCGGCTGCAGAGGGACAATGAGAGCCTTCAGGGGAAGCACAGCCTCCACGCCTCTTTGCAGCAAGCCGAGAACTTCGTCCTCCCTGAATCGGGAGAGGTAGGACATGTCTTGAAGCATTTCCAAGGGAGCCGTTGTGCGGGTGGGCCCAAGAGAGCCAGCGTGTGCAGGTGGGATGCCTCCACATAATCAAAGAGTTGGAAGAGACCCCAAGGGCCCTCCAGTCTAACCCCATTCTGCCAGACAGAGCCCTCCCAACCAATGGCCATCCAGCCTAAGGGAAACTCCGCAATGAATGATAGATGTTTTTCCAGCCTAAAACATCCTGGCTTCATCTGAGTTCCTGGCAGATGTTGACTCTCCTTAATTGGTGTTAGTCAATGTAAGGAGCCTTGTGTTAACTTCCTTCTCAACGTAAGGAACCTTGTAAACATATCCTTAACTTAAAGAGCCATTGTCATACATGGCAAACATTCAATGCCATTTAGACATACAGCATATATAGACAGACACAGAGGCAATTTAACATTCTGATAATTTCTGGAGTATTGTCGAAGGCTTTCATGGCTGGAATCACTAGGTTCTTGTGGGTTTTTTCGGGCTATAGAGTCATGTTCTAGAGGCATTTCTCCTGACGTTTCGCCTGCATCTATGGCAAGCATCCTCAGAGGTAGTGAGGTCTGTTGGAATTAGGACAAAGGGTGTCCAGAAATTGTTTTCCCCCAAAAGTTCAACAGCTCAGCAATGTCAAACGTTAACCATTTTTCTTTGGTCATAAATGTCAGCAGTTCAGCAACTTTTAATTAGGTAAAGGTAAAAGTAAAGGTTTTCCCCTGACATAAAGTCCAGTCGTGTCCGACTCTGGGGGTTGGTGCTCATCTCTATTTCTAAGCCAAAGAGCCAGTGTTGTTCGTAGACACCTCCAATGTCATGTGGCTAGCATGACTGCATGGAGCACCATTACCTTCCTGCCAGAGCGGTACCTATTGATCTACTCACATTTGTATGTTTTCGAACTGCTAGGTTGGCAGAAGCTGGGGCAAACAGCAGGATTTGAACCTGCGACCTTTCGGTCAACAAGTTTAGTACCTCAGCAGTTTAATCCACTGCACCAACTTTTAATTAAGGTCCATGAATTCTTCACCTCTTTCTTGTAGTTTTCCAGCCTTCAATCTTTTTAGGATTGTGTCTTAAACCCAATTAGGCCCCATTCATACACCTTTCATACAATTCCATTCAAACCAAAGATCATATATATGGTGGAGGATCCTTCTTTGGAGGCTTTTAAACAGAGGCTGGATGGCCATCTGTCGGGGGTGCTTTGAACGGATTTTCTTGCTTCTTAGCAGGATGGGGTTGGACTGGATGGCCCACGAGGTCTCTTCCAACTCTAGGATTCTATGCTCCGTGGCAGCACCTCCCACTGCCAAAGAGCTCTTGCTGTTAGGAAGTTCTTCCTAATGTTTAGGTGGAATCCCTTTCCCTGCCATTTGAAATCATTGCTCCGTTGTGTCCTGGATTCCGGAAATACAGAAAACATGCCTTCAATAGGATGTCTAGATAGTGTCAGGAGACAATTTCTGATGGCACGAAGACATCACAAATTCCCTCTGTGACATCCTCACTGGATCATCTTGACTGAATCAATTCTCTCTCTGTGACATTCCGAAGCCAGCTGAGGGTGCTGGAAACCATGTTATGGAACTTGTGAAGCAACAAGTTCTAATAAGGAAACTGAGAAGAGGGGGAGATGGACAGGAAAGGTGTATAAAAGGAAGTGGTGGTGGGAAAAAGTCAGTAGTGTTGTGGCAGCCGTTAGGAGAACATAAAATAATAATAAAGGGAAATCATAATAATTTAGAATAAAATAGAAGATTTAAGTTCTTACCTGATCCTTTGAAAGGGTAAAGAGTATTTCTCTATGAGTGAATTTGCAAACATGAGAAAATCTACAGATCGTCACTGGTCCTTGGTCAGTCAGAAGTGTTTGCTGTAGCTGATGTTTACTTAGATATGAAGTCAACAAGAGTTTTGGCAGGACAAAGAGATCAATAGTATCGATCCAAGACTTGGAACATCTAAGGTCATATGGTGAGAGCGCCATCCTCTGACCACTTAATGTAAATAGCAGGCAATTTCAGAAAAGCTTTATCCTAAGTAATTTCCTTCATGATCTTCATATTAAGAAATAAGTTATAATGAAGTTATTAAGGCTGAATTAAACAAGGAGATTGCCTTGATCAAATCTTATATTATAAGCATATAAAAGTTATAATTCAAGATTTAAGGAATTGAACATATAAGAGTCATCTTAGGGTAACGGGTGAAGGTTGGGATAAGTTACATAATCCAGCAGATGTTTAGGTTCACAACATGGCTGCCAAGACCTGATAAAGATGTTTTTGGGAACTATATATGGAAACACCTGTTAATGATTGCATTGTGTAAATGTCAGACTCTTTCTGCGCATGTGTGGAAAGGTTCATATTATGCTATAAATACTGAAGCGATTCAGACCTCTAACGTGTCAGCCCCTTGTTCGCTGAACACCCTATACTCTGCAGAGATAGAAATAAATGCCTGGAAATCAGACATGCTGTCTCTCCATCTTCTTCCTTCTCCAAAAGCACTCTAATGAATCTCAGGTAATGTATATTCTGCAACAGTCTTTCTTTGCTGCAGAAATACAAGCAATATATCCATTTCAAAGCAAGCCTGCTTGTGAGTGGTTATTTACTATTGCTGTTTAGATCCTACAGTCTGACAGATAGGCAAAAAGTCCAGCTCCTCTTCATATGGTTGTTTCGATCTCCTTTCTGTGCCCTCCCCACAATGTGTGTGAGAGATCAGCGGGAAGCAACGTTTTGTTTTATCAAAATACGTGAACCTCTCCTTCCAGGAGCTCCGCGAACTCATCCTCAAATACCGTGAAGATATCATCAGCGTCCGGACTGCGGCCGACCACCTGGAAGAGAAACTGAAGGCGGAGATCCTGTTTCTGAAGGAGCAGATCCAAGCCGAACAGTGTCTGAAAGAGAACATAGAGGAGACTCTCCAGCTAGAAATAGAGAACTGCAAGGAGGAGATTGGTGAGCCAGCCATTCGCTTTGGTTTCCGTTTCCTATGTTGTGCTTTCTCACGGACAGCTGTTCAGAAAACAGAGCAAACGAGGGCTGTTTTGTTCAGTTTCCTAAGATCTTTCTTTTTTTTTTTTTAAATTTTTTTTATTGATTTATCACTTTATTACATACTATTACATTTTGTACATCAACCTCTTTAACATGTTATTTTATTATTTTACTCTGACATTTCTCCCCCTTTTTCTCATTTTTTTCCCCCTTTTTTCACCACAGTGCTCCCCTCCACCCATTTCAAGCCACCCTTCTTACATTTCATCTGTCCAAAATTTCATTTCTTCTTGTGACGGTAATTTTCCTTCCTTATTTTTTAATCCATTTACCACAAATCTTCCCCATACAGCATCAAAATCGCTTTGTTTCCATATACCTTTTTTAACCTTTAATATACATGTCAATTTATCGTTTATTGCTATTTTCCATGCTTCTTTATACCACTCCTCTATTTGTATATTCATTTCTTTTTTCCAATTCCTTGCTATAAGCAGTCTTGCTATAGTTAGTAAGTTTGTTATCGCTTCTTTATCCTCCTTTTTCAATTGCTTATCGTTATATAGTGATAGTAATGCTATACTAGGACTTTTATCTATTTTTATATTCATTATAGTTTCTATTTTTCTAAATACTTTCTCCCAAAAATTATTTACATATTTACATTGCCACCACATGTGTATATATGTTCCTGGTTCTTGACACCCTCTCCAACAATTTATTTATTTTTATTCATATATGCTATTCTTACCGGTGTCAAGTACCACTTCCATATTAACTTGTAATAATTTTCTTTAACTCGTATCGATAAATTTTTTAAATGTCTTTGTCCCCATAATTGTTGCCACTCTATTTCGCTTATTTTTATCCCTAAATCTTCTTCCCAAATCTCTTTAAGGGTGCACTTTTTTGTTTTTTCATCTTTCATTTCAATTAATATCTTATAAATTTTGCTAATTATACCTCTCAAGTTTTCGTGTTCTTCTACAGTCCTTCCCTTCTGTATTATTTGTTCGAATTGACTGAGTTGGCTTTCACTTCTCTTATTTTTTTTCCAATTTATTACCCATTGTTCTAATTGTATACAATGAAACCATGACAATTTTATTTCTTTAAACTCTTCCAACATCCTTTCCCTCTTCATTTCCACCTTCATCCAATCCCCTATCCTATCTAAATTTATTTCCCTTACCTTTTTATCCATTACTTTTTTTAAATTTTTTGGGAACTTCTTTTCCATCACTATTGGGGTTATAATTGATCCCTCCTTTATTAACCTCCCCTTATATTTATTCCATACTTTAAGTATATTGCTCAGCATTGGGTTTCTAATTTCCCTCATTTCTTTTCTAGTAAACTGTTTAAAAAATATATTCCAAGTTTCATCTTCCACTTTTCCTGAATCATTACTAAGCCAATCTATTCCCTCTTCTTTGACCATTCCTTCTATAACCAAACTTAATCTACTTGCTTCGTAATATTTTTTTATATTAGGTAACGCCAGTCTTTCTAGCGCTTCAGTGGTTTTGAAATCTCTACGGAGGTCGATGTTGTGTGGTTTCCAGGCCGTAAGGCCATGTTCTAGCAACATTTTCTCCTGATAGTTCGCCTGCATCTGTTGTGAATACCACATTCAGTCATCATCATGCATACATCGCCATTTTTTAATTTATTTTACAGTATTTATATTCTGTCCTTTTCACCCCGCAGGGCACTCAGGGCGGATTACAATGTACATATACATGGCAAACATTCAATGCCATAGACACACAACATATATAGACAGACACTCAGAGGCTATTTAACATTCCAGCTTCCGACCACCAGGGAACTGTCGCTTCACCGTCCGTTTGTGACACTGATGAAGTATTTCCTCATTCTTTGCATACTTCCTGGAGATTTTTATGGCCTCCTAAATCTGTTCAATTAGCCTCCCCACATAAGTGGTACCTAAATTTCCTACTTGACAGATGCAACTGCTTTCAGGCTGCAACGGTTGACAGCAAGCTACACAGTTTTGGTCGGGAGCTCACTCAGACCCGGGCTGGCTTCAAACCCATGACCTTTTGGGCAGTAGTGATCTTAATGCAGCTGACTCGCAGCCAGCTGCACCACAGTCTCCTGGAGAAGGATATCTCTTAGGTCAGATTGCGTCCCTGCAAATCTGCCACTTTTCCAATACTTCCAAAACTTCTAACACGGCAAAACGCATCCTCTTTCCCTAAAAACAATGCCAAGGATCCGATCCCTGATTTCCCTACAGCAGAAATTAACTCCTTGCAAGTGTATCACGATTCCTTTATTTTCCCGAGAGAAAAGGAGGCAAGTGGCCAGACTACGTTCCATTGCAGATCTGCCATTCCTAGTGAGCGCCACCCAGTCTAAGGATGTCTCCAGGCAGGAAACAGTTCAGAGGGAACAAAGGCCAGGCTATTTCCATGCAAATGCCCTCAGTAATTGACTATATGCTACTTTCATGCTTATATACATGTTAATGGGTGGATCCCACTCATAATAATAATAATAATAATAATAATAATATAAATAAATAAATAAAATTCTACCTGTTAGCCCTCATCCTGTCCACCACAACTGTCAGACGCTGGTTCAAGGTCTGGGGGGCTTCCTTGGAATTAGGTGGAAATGAGTAGTAGAGTTGGGTGTCATCTGCATACAGATGGCACCCAACTCCAAAACTCTGAATGACCTCACCCAGCGGTTTCATGTAGATATTGAAACGCATGGGGGATAAACATCTAGCTTGCTAATTACACCCTTTGCACTTGGTTAACAGACAATGGTTCTTTCGTCCCACCCTGGACTTTTTTTTTTTGTGTGTGTGTCAGGAGCCATTTGAGAAACTGCAATTCGCTTCTGGAGTGTGAGAAGTGGCTGCCTACAAAGACATTGCCCAGGATGTTTTACCATCCTGTGATAGGCTTCTCTCATGTCCTCACATGAGAAGCTGCAGCTTACATGGGAGCTCAACCTGCTCCCCCCAGATTAGAACCGCTGACCTTTCGGTCAGCAGTCCTGCCAGCACAAGGGTTTACACCATTGTGTCACAGGGGCCTCCATACCCTGGATATTACTCCAGAGTTATATTCAGTCCTCCACTAACTTGACTTCTATCAGATCCACTGATAATGCCAAAAGGCACAGGTGCAGGTGAAACAAACAAAGGATCAAATGCTGCTCGGAAACCACACAACCAACATCCCAGTGATTCCAGCTTACCGTGAAAGCCTTTGACAGTACAATCCGTACAGGAGTTTACGTTGTTTTTCCTTTATCTTGCAGCTGCTGCCTCCGGCCTGAAAGCCGAATTGGAGAGAATAAAAGCAGAGAAGGAGCTGGTGAGTCCTTGGCTGCACCCGAGGTGGGAGATACTGTCCGACATGTGTGAAGGTTACACATGTAGGTCATCACCTACAAAGCCCTAAACGGTTTGGGACCCACCTACCTTCGTGGCCGTATCTCTCTCCAGGAACCAACCCGGGCCCTTCAATCTTCGGGGGAGGCCCTCCTTTCGCCCCTGCCAATCTCACAAGCTCGTCTGGTAGGCACAAGGGAGAGAGCCTTCTCCTCTGTGGCTCCCCAACTCTGGAACTCATTACCTGGAGAGATCAGAAAAGCCCCTACACTAGAAACGTTAAAAAAGAACTTTAAAACCTGGCTCTTCCGCTGCGCCTTTGGCGAGTAGATGCACAACATGACCCTATTGCTCCCCTCAACGTTTCTGTCACTGGAGTACACGACCCCCAAATGGGAAGTTTAGTTTCACAACCCTGTGTGTCTTTATGAGCTCCCTGCAAATCACTTGCTCCTAATTTTATCTCATTAGAGTTTTTAAACATTTTATCCTGTACATGTGGCCTGCCCACTGTTACTGTGACTGTGTTTATTGTAATGTTATTTTGATACTGTATATGTGTGTGGTTTTTTTTCATGTAATTTTTATGATGTAGCTTGTTTATGTTTTGGTTTTAGTTTGTTGTATTCTGTTGTCTGGGCTTAGCCCCATGTAAGCTGCTCCGAGTCCCCATTGGGGAGATGGTGGCGGGGTATAAATAAAGTTTATGTATTATTATTATTATTATTATTATTATTATTATTATTATTATTATTACACGATGCATTCGCCACATACGTGTAACACTTGTTCTTCTGACTCCTCCCCAGGTGGAGTCCACCTTGAAGGAGAAAAGGCAGCAGCTGGAAGGCTTTCAGGGAAGGAAAAACAGCCTCGAAGAGCAGCTGAGGAAGGAGGCGGCAGCAAAGGTAACCTGCGTGTCTGGGTCTCTTGGGTACAGGGGTGGCTCAACCCATTACGCAAAGTAAGCATTTGCAGTATAGTTGATTTTGCCCTGGGGCGCTCTTGGGGGAAACTAGACCTTGACATATGCGAGTTGTAGTTACTGGGATGTATAGTTCACCTGCAATCAAAGAGCATTCTGAACTCCACCAATGATGGAATTGAACCAAATTATGGCACACAGAACTTGCACGACGAACAGAATATATATATCATTGATTGGTTGGGGGGGGGGGGGGGCGCCAAAATACTGTTTGCTTACAGTTGAAAATTACCTAGGGTTGCCTCTGCTTGGGTACTAGAGAGTCGGGCCCCTCTGTCTCAGAGATAAGCTCCCTTGAAGCGGGAAATTTTTATTACACTATGTGACAGGCCCCATCTACACTAGTGTGGAGGCCCCATCTACCCCGTCATATGCTTTAAAACTGGATTATTTTAGTCTACACTGCCATATAATCCAATTCAAAGCAGATGATCTGGATTTTATATGACAGCCTAGATGCGGCCTAAGAAACATACCTTTCAGTACTACAGAAAAAAGACTTTAAAGATCAACAAAGATTAGAGGGAAGTCAACAATACTTTTATTTTTATTTTTTTATTTTTTCCCATTCTTTATTTTCTTTTGGGGCTTTCCCCCCTCTCAAACATCAGTCTCTCCTTTCTTACTATTCTTCTACCTATATACAATGTTCTCCCACTTTGGCGGATACAGCTAGTATATAAATAAAAATGTAATGTTCATTTGTGGGATTAACATAACTCAAAAAGCACTGGATGAATTGACACCAAATTTGGACACAAGACACCTATCAGGCCAACGAGTGACCATCACTCATAAAACACTGAAAAACACAGCGGAAGAGACTGAAAAAGCCAAAACAATCCCCAAAAATTACATTACAATGCATGCGCAAAACCACATATATATATGCAAACACACATATACACAAATATATACATACACATACACACACGAAACATATACACAGACTAGGCCATAGCAGCACATGGCAGGGGACAGCTAGTATGTGTGTGTGTTTATGTGTGTGTATGTGTGTGTATATATATATATGTATATGTATATATATATATATATGAACAAATAGCATGCATATATATGTATGCTCTGTTTGTTCTGTTTGTTTTAGTGACATCATAACTCAAGCATGATTTGCTGCCAAATTTACCACAAGACACCTACTAATCCAAGGAGTGACCATCACTCCAAAAATATATATATATTGTCATGAAGAGTTGTAGTTGCTGGGATTTATAGTTCACCTACAATCAAAGAGCCTTCTGAACTCCACCAACAATGGAATTGAACCAAACTAGGCACGCAGGACTCCCATGACCAACAGAAAGTACTGGAAGGGTTTGGTGGGCATTGACCTTGAGTTTGGGAGTTGTAGTTCGCCTACATCCAGAGAGCACTGTGGACTCAAACAATGAAGGATCTAGATCAAACTTGGCACAAATACTCCGTATGCCCAAATGTGAACACTGGTGGAGTCTAGAGAAAATAGACCTTGACATTTGGGAGTTGTAGTTGCTGGGATTTATAGTTCACCTACAATCAAAGAGCATTATGAACTCCACCAATGATGGAATTGAGCCAAACAAGGCACATAGGACTCCCATGACCAACAGAAAATACTGGAAGGGTTTCATGGGCATTGACCCTGAGTTTGGGAGTTGTAGTTCACCTACATCCAGAGAACACTGTGGACTCAAATAATGAAGGATCTAGACCAAACTTGGCACGAATACTCGATATGCACAAATGTGAACGCTGGTGGAGTCTGGGGAAAATAGACCTTGATATTTGAGAGTTGTAGTTCCTGGGATTTATAGTTCACCTACAATCAAAGAGCATTCGGAATCCCACCAACTATAGAATTGGGCCAAACTTCCCACACAGAACGCCATGACCAACAGAAAATACTGTTTTCTGCTGGCCTTAGCAACCCTTCTAACACCCCCTCACAACCCTCCCCCAGGGGCCACGACCCCCAGGTTGAGAAATGCTACCTGAAGGCCATCTAGTCCACCTCCCTTCACCAGGGCAAGAAAACATAATCAAAGCCCTCCTGACAAAGAGCCATCCAGCCATAGATATAGATAGATATAGATGATTCACACACACAGAGATATAGTACCATAGATGTGAAAAGAACCCCTAAAGAAGGACAATTATATGTTGCGTGTTCCAGAGCAGGCGAACCAGACAATCTCTTCATCAACACTGACAAAGAAACAAGAAGAAATACTGTTTACCCACAAGCAGAAAGACATCACATAGATTAGAAACCAACACTTTCTCACCAGACTGGGCCACAGCAATGCCTGGCAGCAATGCCTGGCAGGGGACCGCTAGTTTTTAATAATTTTGTGCACAATATTGTCTGTTGTCCTTTCCATGCTTGTTCATTGGTTGCACAATAACAATATTATGTCATTCCCGCCTTTCTTCTTTTCCTGTGAGAAGAAAGGCTGTGATTAATCAATTAGCTTCCAAGCAGAAAGTGCTGGTGTTGACCTATAAATCCCTAAACGACTCCGGCCCAGTTCACCTGTCCAAACGGATTCTCCCCTATGAACCATCAAGGGGCCCTGCTCTCGGTCCCACCACCCTCGCAATCGTATCTGGTGGGGACGAGGGACAGGGCCTTCTCAGTGGTGGCCCCTCGGCTCTGGAACTCTCTTCCACTGGAGATTAGAACTGCCCCTTCCCTCCTGACCTTTAGAAAATTGGTGAAAACCTAGCTCTGGAATCTGGCATTTGATGAGTGAGGCAATAACTCTTGACCACACGGACGGATGGGGATGAATAGTGATTTTATGCTAACGATTTGGCCTTATATAATTATATGATAGTACTTTAATGTGTTTATATTAGTGTATTATTGGATGTGACGTTTTAAACTACTGTGTATGAATTCCTTTGTTGTAAACCGGCCTGAGTTCCTTGCTGGAGGTGAGAAGACTGGTATATAAAAGTTCTAAATAAATAAATAATAATAAATAATAATCAGAGGTCCTCAAAACAGTCTCTTTACTCGGACGGAAGATCTTACTGTGTGCATAAAGCAGGAGGACTTTGAAAGCATGGAACCTGATGCCTCGGTGTCTTGCTCCAGGTGACCCTCGAGCAGCTGATGTTCGAGGAGAAGAACAAAGCGCAGCGTCTTCAGACGGAGCTGGATGTCAGCGAGCAAGTGCAGAGGGATTTTGTGAAGCTCTCGCAGACCCTGCAGGTGAGGCTTCCCTTTGGGGCTCTGGGTGGGGGGCAACGCGGGGGTGGTTTGTCTATTAGCAGTGCACGAGGGAGGGTTTCTTTCTCCTCCTCCCATGAGTGCGAATGCCTCAGTTTCCCTTTGCAATCCCTCCCTCTCAAAGTGGACAAAGCAAGTGGCACTGCATCATTTCCTGTTGCCATTGTGAGACTCACAACTTCTGAGGATGCCTGCCATAAATGCAGGCGAAACGTCAGGAGAGAATGCTTCTGGAACATGGCCATACAGCCCAAAAAACCTACAAAAATGTTCAGTTGCTTTGATAGATGTTACCTTCTTTGAGGCAACCCAGGAGATGACGCCGGGCGATGAGGCGAACTCTGCTTAATGCAGCCACCCAAACCTCCAGCCCAGCCTTTATGCTCTGTTGCTGGGAAATCCCAGCCAATGCCAAGGGCAGGAATTGCCCAAATTGTAGGGGGAATCTCTGGGGCACTCCCCTCATGACCCCTCGAGGGTCCCGACCCCCAAGTTCAGTGTTTTTTTCAGTACTGGGAGCCACATTTTGTTCATTTTCATGGTTTCTTCTTTTCTGTTGAAATTGCTTGTGGATTTCGATGGCTTTGCTCTGTAATCTGACAAAGTGGTGGCTGGTCACTTGCAAATCAAGCTTGCTAATGGCACCCTTTACACTCGGTTAACAGACATTGGCTTATTCTCCCAGCTTCCTGGTGAAATGTCAGAAGCAAATGCTGCTAGAACACATTGATGTTGAAATCACACAACCCCCCAGTGATTTTACGAGTTTCTCTCCCAAAAAAAATCTGCTCCATCCCTATCTCATCCTGATTTTAGTATTTTTAGTTTTTACCTTGCACATGCGGCCCGCTTATTGTTATGTTATGTTGTTTAGGTCTGCTCGTATGTCTTTCCACAAACGCCACTATCACCTTCTCGTCCATGCTTCAGCACTATTTCCAATTTTAATTTTACATTTGGCCTTCCCACAGTTTTATTTGTATTTTGTCTTATTGATAATGTTATATGTTTATTGTCTATGTTCTTATTTTATTTATTTATTTATTTATTTTATATACCGCTTTTCTCAGCCCTCAGGCGACTCAAAGCAGTGAACAACATCAATACAAAACATCACGAGACAAGTATAGGGCAATTAAAAACAATTGTAACATAAATCATTAAACCTCCGTATAACAATCATTAGCGCCTCAACAGTAAAATCAGAATCCAGTCTCATCATCCATTATTCCGTATTCCTATGTTCAATTACACTGTTTAATCAAATGCTTGTTTGAACAGCCAGGTCTTCACTTTCCTCCGAAACGCCAGCAGGGAGGGGGCCGATCTGATATCTGCAGGCAGGGCGTTCCACAGCCAAGGGGCCACCACTGAGAAGGCCCTGTCTCTCGTCCCCACCAGGCACGCCTGTGATGCAGGCGGGACAGAGAGCAGGGCCTCCCCAGATGATCTTAGTGTCCTTGTATTGCTTGTATTGTTGTGATTATTGTTTGTATTGTTGTGTTTGGGCTTGGCCTCATGTAAGCCGCACCGAGTCCCTTGGGGAGATGGTAGCGGGGTACAAATAAAGTGTTATTTTTTATTATTATTATTATTATTATTATTATTATGTTATTTTACTATGTATGATTTTGCCTTATCATCTTTGTACTCATATGTTGTATGTATTTTACTGTGTTATTGTGTTTTGGTTTTTACTTTATTGTAACATGCTGTTGGGCTTGGCCTCATTTAAGCCGCCCCGAGTCCCCATTGGGGAGATGGTGGCAGGGTATTATTATTATTATTATTATTATTATTATTATTATTATTATTATGGCCATGAAAGCCTTTGACAGTGTATCTCAAAGAAAAGTTGGGCTTCACTCTTACTTTCCTTGGGCCCTTTGTTCAGGCATGAGTTAAAGACCCACATCAGCCACAGCAATCCCGCCTTTCGGTCCCCCTTTGCTGACCAACTTGCATCTTATCATCAAATTAGCTGACTTCAGACAGTTGTTTCTGCTTCAGTAGCGGCTCTTATCTTTATTTCATTCATTGCAGTAACACTTACTCGATAGAACAGTCAGATGCAAGGGAGAAGAGCCAAGAGGCAGAGCAATGGTGTCTGCTTCTATTTACACTCCACTGTTATTAGCTCATTAATTCAGTGTTCAGCCTCCTAGTCTGTTGCAACATCTTCTTTGTCTGTTCCATGCATGCTTCATCATGCTCCGCAGCTTAACTTTTTCAGAGCTAGCAGCATGGACAGTATATTGACATTATACTGATATGCCTTTCCGTTTAGGTCCAGCTGGAGCGGATCCGTCAGGCCGACTCCCTGGAGCGGATCCGGGCCATCCTCAACGACACCAAACTGACAGACATTAACCAGCTGCCCGAAACATGACCCCCTCCTCGGACAGCGAGGCGATGAGGCGGCGAGGCCACGTCGGGTTTTTTCTCCCCCCAGAAAAACTCATCTTTATAGCAAAACGTTTAATAACTATTATTATTATTATTATTTAACTCTTTAACCGAAAGCGCAGAAGATGGCGCGAGGGAGCAGTGTGGTTCCAGGCGGCGTTTCCAGGAGGGAGAAGAAGAGAAAGAAAGGAGGCTTTGTGTTTTGCGGGTGAGAGACGAGGATCGAGGCGCAGAGGCGGGTGCTTTCCGGGGGTCTGCCGTCCCTCACTTTTTCCTTAACTCCAGAAAGCAGCGTTCTCTCTCTCCCATACTCCCTTCTTCCCTCTGTAATCAGTTTCTTTTTCTACGACGATCAAGGAAGCTGCTAGAAACCAACGTCTCCCAAATTCGATTTCAGACAAAAGCTATCGACCCCACCGGCGACTGAATGGTTGCCAACAGGAGCAAGGCAGGAGGGGTTTGTAGTAGTAAGACATGATATTTTATATTAAAATACGGATTAAGTTTTCCGGAATTTGGGGCTGGAGGGCTTTCAAAGCTCGATGCACTTTGTTCCTACTTTGTGTGTTTTTAAGAGCCCGGTTTGGCAGTTGAGAGGTAGTGACGGAGCGGCCAAAGAAAGGGAGGAAAAGGAACAAAATCCACGGATCACTTGGGTTTTGGGATCCAAGTTTCCTGGTCACCTGGGAGTCACAAGGGAAGTCACTCTTGAGAAGCAAAAATGTCCTGCGGGTAAAGCAGATAAAGCTTTCATTTCAGGGAAGAGAGGCCTAGTGGTCTCTTGCCCTCACACAACAATAATAATCAAGTCTTCATTCGATTCTTTCTTAGTGATGGGGCAGATGTTATGATGTCTCCCCCCTGCCCCAATGAATCTGTGTGGCTTTTTCAGAGTTTGGAATGTACCGCGGATATCGAAGCCCACTCTTTTAGGTTCTTGCATGGAGAACAAAACCAGTTGAGCTGGATCCAAGCCCCATTGAAACCAAGGAGACTTCAGCTCATCTCTGAATAAGGAGCTTGGCAATGTATCTGATAGTTATGAATCTCTGCTGAAAGTAGGGGGGGCCCTTTTGCGTTGCTTTGAACATTCGTCACCCGGCGGACGTGGACGTACGTGTGAAGGCAACGCTTGTGAAACGGCTGTTGGAATGGGGATCTTCCTGGGATAAGTCTCCGTAGAAGCGGATTGTGGAAGCTGCGTTTAGGGTTTGAATTCAGAGCCATCTCGTCACACTCGGAACCTGGTTTGATCCATCCAGCGAGAGGAAGGATAACGAAAGCGGGCTGGGTTTCGAAGGCTGGAAAAAACACCAAGTCGAAGAGAAACACCATCATGTTTGTCCACCTTCACTGAAAGTGTTTTTGAGTCCTTTCCGCTGGCACAAACTATGTATTTGAGAGCCACTGAATTGTCAGTTGAGCATTGGTGGTGTAATGGGTTTAAGGAGCTACAAAATGTGAGCACTCTGGTCAGAAGGGGGGAGTTTTTTTGTGGAGAAGCAACGGTTAACATTGGGGAATTCTTAAATTGTGTGCAAATGGAGAGTCCTTTTCTCACGCTGCTTTGGGAAATTTTACACTGGACTTTAGGAGAGGGATCCATCCTCTTGTCTTCATCTTGCCGAGTCTGTTGGAAGCATTTTGGTTTGGTTTTTTTGCTCTACTGCCCATCTTTTCTGACAGAATGCACCCACGGTGTTTAAAGCATCGAAAAACGAAGCCGCTTTTGCCGTTCGATCAAGACCTCGCAGGCTATAATGAATTATGAACGAGCCACTTCCATGTGATGCTGCACAAGGCCGCTGACTGAGCCTTTGATTTTTGGGAGCCTTAAACCTACTCCAAAGACACTTTGGGGAACTACACTTTCTGCAGAGAGAAGGAAAAAGCGGATAGCGCAGTCGTACTAAGCTGTAACAGATATTGACAACATCTTGCTACAACCAGAAGCCCTAAGACCCCAAAGCACACACTTATTTGAGGCCGAAAAGGGAAAATAATCGTCAGACTCGAGGGGGGGGGGGGTTCTCCTCCAATTCAGCCTCTGTTTTCAGGGGGGAACGCTCTTCTCGCCAGACAGGGCTGCGTCACAACCTCGGCTTTTGTTCCTTTGCGATGACGGTCGGGGCTCCACTACTGCGACAGTCCGCTCGTACTGATTCTGTGCAGAACGTATGGAGGAGAAATGCCATCAGGATCGAACTCTCTTGTTCTGTATACGTGTACAGTCTTTTCATATGTGCGGCCTGCGTTCTTCCAGCATGTGTGATCGTTAACCATGACCCCCGATTTTCTTTCTTGCCTCGGTGGCCTCATCACGCAAGAGAAACCCTCCAAAGCATGGTTTGGCCCAAGAGGAGAAGGGCGGCCGCGTCCTCGCTTGGTTCCCTTTGCGGAAAAGCTCGCTTTCAGATTCCGCGCAACAGGAGGGTTTGGGGATCATGCTGTATTCCAACCAGTCGAGCCACCGGTGTCCTGTGAAAGTGTGGGTGTGGGATTCTCCTGTCTACCGAATTTTTAAAAAATCAATAAAATGAAATGTAACCCTTTGTTAACTGTATTGAAAGGCGTATCCTTACAAAGTGTTCCAAATTAAAGGAGGAAATTAAAGAAAAAGGTCTTCTCTGGTTCTTCTCGAGCCCTCCAAATAACAAACTCAAAGACACTTCTGAATAATAAAGCATTTATTACATGTTGCAGATACCAAAAACAATAGAAAACTTGTATAAATTAGGAGAAAGGCAGCTTGTTTCCCATAACATTCCACAAAAGGTTGACCTTTATGATGTCTATTAAAAGGCGACATGATTTCGGATGTCGTTTATCTGTTTTACCATCTCTTGGATGTGTTCTCCCCTGAAACAAGAGGGGGAAAAACACACACACGTTAGACCAGAGATGGGGAAATCCAGGCTCTCCTCTCTCACACCATCCTACCCTCCCTTCCTTCTCTCTTGCCTTCCTATTTCTTTTTCCTTTTCACCCCTACTTCCTTCCTTCCCTCTTCCCTTTCAACCTTTTGTCCTTCCTTCCCTCTCTTTTCTTTCCTTCCTTCTCTCCCCCTTTCTCATTTCATCCTTCCCTTCTACCCCTTCATCCTTCCTTCTCTCCTTTTCCTCCCTTTTGTCTTTCTTTCTCTCTTTCCTTCATCTTTCCCTTCCTTCCATCCATCCTTCCTTTCTTTCTTCCCTCCCTTCCTGTCCTCCATTCCCTTCCACTCTTTCATCCTTGCTTCCTTTGCTTTCCTTCTTTATCTCCTTCCTTTCCTCCCTTTTGGCTTTCCTTCCGTCTCTTTCCTTCATCTTTCCCTTCCTTCCATCCTTCTCTCTTTTGCTTTCTTCCTTTTTTCTTCCATCCTTCCCTTCCACTCTTTCATTCTTCCTTCCGTCCCTTTTTTCTTTCTCTCTCTTCCCTCTCTCCTTTCCTTCCTCCCTCTTTTCCCTTCCTCCTTTTTGTCCTTCCTTCCTTCCTTCCATCACTGGGAAACCAGTGGAGTGCTAGCATGCGGCCCCCAAGTTAGAACGTTTCCCCATGCCTGTGTTAGACTTGGCAAGGAAAGCAGTAAAAATAAACTCGTCTTTGGGCTTCACAGTGAGGCCAGTGCTCAGATGGGCCTGTTGTGTGTGTGCATGCACATCTTCCTGACCATCTACATATAAAAGTCTTATGGATGTATGACTCTGCACCGCAAAGGCTGTGGCCCTCTGTGAGGACACTGAGAAAGAAAGGTGACCTATGTATGGCGGGGGGGGGGGGGGGGGGAAAGGGGGGTGAGGAAAGAGCCAGGTTGGCTCCCTCAAAGCTGGAGAAGGGAGAAAGGAAAGTGATTACAAAATCAGAAAAAGGAAGAAGTGGAACAAGATGTATGAGAGAAAGCAAGGGAAGAAAAGAGAGGGAGGAGGTGTATGAGGGAAACGGAGGAAGGAAAAAAGAGCCACAAAGAAAGCTTGCTGCCTTGGAGACATGTCGAGAAGATAGAAAGTAAAGAAAGAGGAAAAAGGGAGAGAAAGCAAGGGAAGAAGCAAAGAAAGGAAGAAAAGAGAGGGAGAAGGTTGTATGAGGGAAACAGAGGAAGGAAAGAAAGCCCGCTGTCTTGGAGACATGTAGAGCTGGAAAAGGTAGAAAGAAAAGAGGAAAAAAGGAGAGAAAGCAAGGGAAGAAGTAAAGAAAGAAAAGAGGAGGAGGGAAACTGAACTGATGAAGGAAGGAGCCACAAAGAAAGCTCACTACCATGGATACATGTAGAGCTGGAGAAGGTAGGAAGTAAAGAAAAAAGGGAGAGAGAGCATGGGAAGGAGAGAAAGGAAGAAAGAGGGAGAAGGTGTATGAGGGAAACAGAGTAAGGAAAGAAAGAGCCATGAAGAAAGCCCACTGCCATGGAGACATGTAGAGCTGGAGAAGGTAGAAAGTAAAGAAAGAGGGAAAAGGGAGATAAGGGAAGAAGTAAAGAAAGAAAAGAGAGGAGGAGGAGGGAAACTGAGGAAGGAAAGAAAGAGCCACAAAGAAAGTTCACTGCCATGGAGACATGTAGAGCTGGAGAAGGTAGAAAGTAAAGAAAGAGGAAAAGTAAGGGAGATAGAGCAAGGGAAGAAGGAAAGAAAGAAGAGAGAGAAGGAGGAGGGAAATGGAGGAAGGAAAGACAGAGCCACAAAGAAAGCCCACTGCCATGGAGACATGTAGAGCTGGAGAAGGAAGAAAGTAGTCAGGCAGTAGTTCCAACCACACCTAGACAACGTCACGTAGATACACTAGATGTTTTTATGTAAGCGGGAGCAATACTCCAGTTCAAAAATTAAAACCTTACACACGTGTAGTAATTGGAATATGCAAGGACTTGGGAAAAGCAAACAACCTCCGAGACATTTCTCCCAAGAGCAGGACTGAAGCCCCAACCGAGCGAAGCCATCGCTGGCTATTTTTCAAGCCTATTGAGAATCTCCAACTCACTCCTCTTTCAGGACGGCCTGGATGCACTTCCTCTGGGAGGCACTGAGGGTGATGCTGGGTTTGCGGGGGCTGCTCCCTGTCTCCGTCTTCCTCTGCTGGTAATCCTTCTTCATTTTGACCTGTGGGCACAAAGGTGGGCGAGGCAGGCGGGCTCCTCAAAATGACTGAAGATCTCAGTGGCAACGATCCCTATCCTGTATTGCCCAAGGCTTTCACGGCCGGAATCACCAGGGTGTTTGTGTGGTTTCCAGGCCGTGTTGGCCAATGTGTTCTAGCAGCATTTTCTCCTTTTTTCGTTTCGCCTGTACCTGTATCGACTGGCATTTTCAAAGGTCTCATGGTGGTAAAGCAAGAGGAGTGTGTGTGTGTATACACACAAACACACACCCCTGTGGAATGATGTCCAGGAAGTAATGAATCATTGTCTGAGGGTGCAATTAGCAAGCTTGCTTTGCATGAGTTGAGTGCCATCTACCCATTAGCATGTGAGTAAACCATTAAGAAAACACCTGGTGGTGCAGTTGGTTAAACCGCTGAGCTGCTGAACTTGCTGACCAAAAGCTCGGTAGGTCGAATCTGGGAAGCAAGGTGAGCTCCCGCTGTTAGCCCCAGCTTCAGCCAACCTAGCAGTTCGAAAACATGCAAATGTGAGATCACTTCTGCAAGATGGTAGCTGCGCTCCATGAAGTCATGCTGGCCATATGAGCTAGGAGGTGTCTACGGACAACACCAGCTCTTCGGCTTAGAAATGGAGATAAGCACCACCACCACAGAGTCAGACACCACTAGACTTAACATCAGGGGAAACTTTTACCTTTGCTTTTGAACTGTGGTGTTGGAGGAAAGTTCTGAAAAGATCCAACCAGTCCATACTTCAGGAAATAAAGTCTGATTGCTCATTGGAGGGAAGGATAGTAGAAGCCAAGATGAAGTACTTTGGCCACATCATGAGAAGAAAGGAAAGCTTAGAGAAGACAATGATGCTGGGGAAAGCAGAAAGAAAAAGGAAGAGGGCAAGATGAATGGATGGTATCCTTGAAGTGACTGGCTTGACAGAAGGAGCTGGGGGAGGTGACGATGGCCAGGAAGCTCTGGCATGGGATGATCCATGAGGTCACGAAGAGTCGGAAATGACTGACCGAATGAACAACCATGCAGATTGCATAGTCAGTGATTGAGGGCATCTGCATGGAAGGAGCCCAGCCTTTTGTTTCCTCCCACCCTGGACATTATTCCACAGGTCTAGAATATACTCCACTGGCTTGATTCCCATCAGATCCTCTGAAGATGCCAGTAGGCACAGGTGCAGGCGAAACGAGCAAAGGAGCAAATGCTGGAACACGTTTGTCAGACTCTGGAAGATCTTGGAGTTGAAATCAAATTCACAACAATAAAATGCTGGGGAGAAGTATTTATTTTCTACTTTCCACAATTCCCTAAAACACGACAATTCTAAAGCTTCCCGCTCTAACCTATCAGCCCCAACTTTCATCCGCACACTAGTGGGCAAACACAGTGCCCACAGTCTGTTAACTACAGTTTCAATTTCCTTGACAAAACAGATGTCTTATCTACACCCCCTTTCCCAACTGTTCCAAGCCTCCTCCCCACCCTACTGTCCCAGCCAGTCCTAGGCTGATATGGCAATCCTAACAACGTTGGATTGGAAACAAACCACACAACACCCCACTAAAATAAGAGTGCTGTGTGAATGGGCCTCTGGGGTGCCTTTCACCGATGGTTCCCTTACCTGTTTGATGGCATTCCCTAAGTGCCGTAGCTGTTCTTGTATCATCTGCAGCTCCTTCTTCATGTCCTTCTCGCTGTCTGACAGCACAGGGAGGTGAGAGTGGACGCTGCGCAGGACCGTCTTCATCCTTTCCAGGGGCACAAAAACAGCACTGAAACACTCGTGTGAAGCCCACAAAGCAATCGATGAAAACAAAGGTGGGAATCTGGGACTGTCAGCTGCATTAAGATCACTACTGATCGAAAGGTCATGAGTTCGAAGCCAGCCCAGGTCAGCGTGAGCTCCCGACCAAAATTGTGTAGCTTGTTGTCGACAAGCAGTGTTTCTTATAAGTCAGAGCACGGTCCAGGATAACTCCCAGGTATTTGGGCGTGGGATTTCTTCCCAGGTAGTTATGGGCTCTGCATTAGTGATTAAAATGTGGAAGGATGGGTGTTTTGTAATCCTACATATATAATAATGCATATTGGGGATGGCATTTAATTTTGTCACGCAACGTACAATGATAATAAAAGCTATTTCATTCAAAGGAGCCTGATGTGGACTCCTGGGCATCCATACCTGTTCACAATGTCTTCCTGCTTCTCCTTGGCTTCCTCGTACTTGTCCGCCAACCGCTCCGCCATCTCCCGAAGGCTCTTCCTTCAGGTGGAAATATATATATGTCATTTTGGTGCAATTATTCTGTTTAAAAAGAATTCCAAGTGATAAAGGGAGTTATGCTATTGCCTCGCCCAATGCGCTGCTTTAGTACACAATGGGATGCCTCGGGTATTCCGTGAAATATTGTCACAAACACCTGAGGCATCAGAGGAAAAGGATTTCCGGGAAGGAGAAATAGGCTTGGGCTTTATCCACATACTGAGATCCATATTTCTTACATCGTAAGATGACATTGATGGTAAAGCATATCCTAATTCCAGATGCACCTGTGATGTGTATTATTATTATTTTATGTTCTATTACTTACTAGTATTTATCATTACTGTATTTCTTCCATTGTAAGACACCACTGATGTTAAGGCACATCCAAAGTTCAGTACCAACAACAACAAAAATACATCAGGTGTACCTGCAATTTTATTATTATTTATAGTATTATTATTATTATTTTATGTTCTATTATTTACTAGTATTTATCATTACTATATTTCTTCCATTGTAAGACAACAACAAAAATACATCAGATGCACCTGCAATAATAATCATCATCATCATCATCATCATCATCATCATCATCATCATCATCATCATCATCATCATATAATGTTCTATTATTTACTAGTATTTATCATTACTGTATTTCTTCCACTGTAAGACACCATTGATGTTAAGGCACATTCAAAGTTCAGTACCAACAACAACAAAAATAAATCAGGCGCACCTGATTATTATTAATTAATAATAATAATAATAATAATTATTATTATTATTATTTATAGTATTATTATTATTTTATGTTCTATTATTTACTAGTATTTATCATTACTGTATTCCTTCCAGCATAAAACACCACTAATGTTAAGGCACATCCGAAGTTCAGTACCATCAACAACAAAAATACATCAGATAAACCTGCAATAATAATAATAATATGTTATATTATTCAATACTATTAATTATTACTGTATTTTTTATTTATTTATTTACTTTGCTTATATACCGCTGTATCTCAAGCCCGAAGGCGACTCACGGCGGTTCACAAACAGTAAAAACAGTAGAAACAGCAGTGGTTCCATACAACATATAACAATTGACTTAACACATTGTCCATAAATTACCAATAAGCAATTACAATGCACAATTATTACAAAAAACAACCGTACCCAATCTTCTCATCATCCAAGCATAGTCCAGGTTCGTCGTCCATTGTTCCATTCCTATGTTCCATTACCAGATTGCACTAAATTACTCAAACGCCTGCACAAACATCCAGGTCTTCACCTTTTTGCGGAATACCATTAGAGATGGTGCTAGTCTAATGTCCGTAGGAAGGGCGTTCCACAGCCGAGGAGCCACCACCGAGAAGGCCCTATCTCTCGTCCCCGCCAGCCGAGCTTGAGAAGCAGGCGGGATCGAGAGCAGGGTCTCCCCGGAAGATCTCAAACTCCTTTTCCATTGAAAGACACCACTGAAGTCCAGCAGAACAAACAGGGATTGTAAATAAATAAATAAAACCATTCTGAGAGAATTGCAACAAAGCTTGGACTAAACAGAGAGGGGGGGGGATCTGTAGCTTTCTGGCAAAGAAATCACCTCACAAACAAAGTTAGAAGGCTTTAATTCAAAAGCATGTATTAGGGAACGCAACAAAATTCCAACTGACAGTTTATTTCCCTCACGCCTCACCCTGCCTCCTCCCCTGCATTGCTCTCATTTCCATGACAACCCTCTCCCAGATTTCAAATATTAGGCATGGCCTAATTTCCTGGCTTCACACAAAACCAGGAAACAAGGTCATGACAAATAGAGAGAAAGTAAACTAGCCAGAAAAGCTCAGAAATGGGTGGGCCTCACCTTTCTTCTCGACAATAGGCAAGGTCTTCCAGCTGCGTCTTCTTCTGCTCAAGCAGCAGCTTCACTCTGAGGAACAAGGTGGAGAAAGGCCATAATAATCAGACTTCATTGAGAGTCCATCATAAAAAACATAAAACAGTTTGAAGAGACTGCAAAGCCTGTCTAATCATCCAAAGCCGCTAACCACGTCCCAAAAGATGGCCACCCACAGAACTCTAGGCATTTTGCTCTTCTGTCTGTCCCAAGATGTTCTTTCCGGTGGAATCGCTTCTCTTATAATATATTTTATATTACCACTTTATTTTATATTATTGTTATACTTTATTATGTATTGTATGTATATGTGTGTGTATATATATGTGTGTGTGTGTATATCTTGTAAGCCGCTCTGAGTCCCCTTCAGGGTCGCAAATAAATAAAATAAATACATTATCATTCTTTTATTATTATTAACTTCCTGAGTGTTAAGAGGAACTGTTCAGCAGTGGAACTCTCTGCCGCAGAGTGTGGTGGAGGAACCTTCCTTAGAGGCTTTGAAACAGGCTCGATTGCCATCTGCTGGGAGTGATTTGACTGTGCTTTTCCTGCCTGGCAGGGGGTTGGACTAGATGGCCCCTGGGGTCTATTCCAACTCAATCTAATCGGAAGGGAAATATACTCAGGACTCACTGCACCCCAACACTATAGATCCCAAACCCTTTGGGGTGTCCAAGCCCTTCAGAAGCCTTTACCTTCGCTGGATCTCTTCCCGGGCCAAGTCCTGCTTCAGTATGTATTCTTCCCTGAAGACTTGGGTGGCCCTGCTGAGGAGCTGAAGGCCTTCTTCGGGGGGAGGCGAGGACTCTTTATCTGCTGCTCTGCCAGGCAAAACAAAGGAACCGTCATCTCAGCATGTGAAGCTATACAAGAAGAGACCCCAAGCAAAACGTCACGCTGGTGTGCTTCCTTTGTCGTTCCTAGTGGGACTCAATGGCCAAAGCAAACCACCCGAGATGTGTCCTTCTCCACTAAATCCCAGTCTGCAGTGCTTGCGACCGGAGGTTGGACTGGATGGCCCACGGCATCTCTTCCAACTCTATGATTAAGGTTCAGCACAAAGAGGTAGCGTACTTCAACAGCAGTGGGTTGGCGGAGCCACGACTCAAGATGCTCTGGATGTGCCTCTCGAAGGAGTCCTGCGATTCGGACAGAAGGCGGAGCGGGGAGGCCGCTGCCCGCGCGTCATCCTTGCTGCACAGGAGCGGAGGGCACGGCGAGTGGACAGTCGAACTGCCAAAGGAAGCATCGAGCGCCGGTCAGCATCGCCAAAGACTTCATGCGCAATGAAACCCTCCCACCAGGGATCAAGACATCAACTGGGCGGATTCACTAAGCCAAGGCCCAGAGTTACTCCATCCATAGGACACAGTGGGATTTCCCCCAAAGTCCTAAGGCAGGCACTACATCTAATTCTCTGCTTGCAAATGGCAACATGACTTTTCCCCTCCACAGAGGCAAGGAAAGGAGAAGCGCATCTCTCTCCAACACAGGTTTGGTGCTTACAGAAGAGGCTTGGTGACGCATTCGTAAGTCTCTGTGATGCAGACCATCGTAGGGCCCAGGATGTCAGAGATGATGGTGAACCCGAGGATGGAGGCGGGCTGCCTGCAAGGAAAAGACGAAAGGATACGCCGATGACAATGATGTTTAATCCTGCTTTAATGTTTGTGTATCTGTCGATTCAACATTGTAGGGAAATGCTTTTAATGTAAGTCACTTTGAGTCTCCTTTGTGGAGAGATAAAACAAGGTATGAATAATAATACTAATAATAATAATAATAATAATAATACATTATAATACTAATGATAGATGCATAGCTGCTTTGAGTCTCCTTTGTGGAGAGAAAAAGTGGGGTATGAATAAACAACAGCAACAACAACAACACATTCTATTAAATATCAATTTTTATTATGCTTTTAAGAACAAATATAAAACACAGTATCATCGAGTATGGGGGGAGGAGGGAAGGGAGGGAGAGAAAAAAAATTTTTTTACATATATATATAAGATATATAATATATCTATATATATATGGGGGTATGGGGGTGTGGGAGGAGTGCCAGGAAAGGTGAGGAAAGGGGCAAAAAGGTAAGGGTAAGAGTGTGAAGGTAGGGGTGGGGTGAGCAGTTTAAAAACAATGACTTCCCAAGAATTTGTGGATCGCTTAAAAATTGAGTGTGTTGCTTCTTTCTCTTCTTCTTCTCCGATGTCTCTTCTTTAGCTGTTATTCCTTACACGTTGGACAGGTCTATCAATAGGTTCTTCTTTCCGCGCAGTAGTCTTTAAGCCCTAACCAGTTGGTTTTTTTGCTATTATTGTTCAATCTTTGGGACAGAGAGTCCATTTGTACTATTTCTAGTACTTTGATAATCCATGCATCTAAGTCTGGAATTTCTTTTAGCTTCCAAAATTTTGCAAGCAGTATCCTAGCAGCGGTGCTTAATAGAAAGATTAGCTTCTCTTGAGTTTTATCGAATTTTGGATTAGAGATGCCCAATAAGTAAATTTCTGGTAACATAGTGAATTTTGTTTTTAATATTTTTTGAGTGGCGGTGTGTATTTCTTTCCAATATTTTTTCACTTTTTTGCATTCCCACCATACGTGGATGAATGTTCCTCTTTCTTTGCCACATTTCCAACAATTGTTGGATATCCCTTTATTAAACTTCGCTAACTTCTCCGGGGTAAAGTACCATCGATAAAACATTTTAAACCAGTTTTCCCTTAGGTCGCTGGCTATTGTGTATTTTATTTTAGTATTCCATATTTCTTCCCATTGGTGCATTAGTATATTGTGCCCTAAATCTTTTGCCCATTGAATCTGACAATTTTTAACCTGCTCCTCCTCTGTGGACCATTTTAGAAGTTGTTGGTACAGAACTTAATTAATTTTTTCTCCTTCTTTAAGACTATATCCCATAGAACCTGTTCTTGACTAAAGCCGTTTTTCCCATCCTCTTTAAATCCTTGTTGGATTTGATGATATTGGAACCAGTTAATTTTTTAATTAATTATTCTAAGTTCTTCCAGTGATTTTAGCATAGGTTGTTGTTCTCTGGAATATTTTAATATTTGCTGATATGTCAGCCAGTTTTTTTCCTCCAACGCTTTTTTATGTCTCGCTTCTACCGGCGATATCCACATTGGGGTTTTACTATACCATCTTGATTTGTATTTCTCCCATGTTTTAATAAGGGAGGCCCTAATAACATGGCTATTAAAAAAAATTCCTTTTGTTTTTTGTTATGCCATAGATGGCTGTGCCATCCCATCCAAAGATCGTGTCCCTCCAAGGCGAGTAATTTCTTATTCTGCAGGGAAGCCCATTCCTTTACCCCTACTAGATTGCTAGCCTCGTAATATAACTTCAAATTGGGGAGTCCTAAACCACCTCTTTTCTTGTCGTCTGTAAGGGTTTTGTAATTTATTCTAGGTTTCCTGTTTTTCCATAAGAATTTCGTTATTTCTGTATTCCATTTTTTAAAAAGATGATCATTCCTGAGTATTGGCAATGTTTGAAAGGGAAGAGCAATCGCGGCAGGATCGACATTTTGATTATCGCTATCCTTCCCAAAAGGGAGAAGTTTTGATGTTTCCATTTGTCAAGGTCACCTTGTATTTTCTTCCACAGGGGTATGTAATTGTGTTTTTATTAAGTTTATATTGCTTTGACTGATATATATGCCTAGATATTTTATTTTGTTTTCTATTTTTATCCCCGACATTTCTTGCAAAATTTCCTTGGATTTCCTATCCATATTTTTCGCTAAGATTTTGGTTTTTTGTTTATTTAGTTTGAATCCCGACAATCTTCCGTAGCCTTCAATCTTTTGCAACCAATTATTGATATTTTTCAGAGGGTCCTCCACTATGCATACTACGTCGTCTGCATAAACCTTAACTTGTATTGATATTTGAGCACTTGCATACCTTTTAATTTCTGGTCATTATTTATATCTGTTATCAGGGTGTTTATTACTAAAATAAAAAGGAGCGGAGAAAGCGGGCAGCCTTGACGTGTGCCTTGCATAATCTTAATTTGGGTTTCTGTTTCGCATCCATTTATTATCAGATTGGCTGTTTGTGTTCCGTAAATTGCATCTACTACATTTTTGAATTTATGTCCAATATCGATCTCCTGTAACAATAATTTAAGATAACTCCAATTAACCCTGTCAAAAGCTTTTTCCGCGTCAATGAAAAGCAATGCTACTTGCTTCTCATTATGCTTTTCATAGTACTCAATCGTGTTTATCAACATTCTCGTGTTGTCTTTAATTTGCCTTCGTGGCAGGAAACCCGTCTGCTCCTCCGCTGCCCAACCTTTTAGAAAGTTTTTTAGTCTGTTTGCCATTATTATCGAGAATATTTTATAATCATTATTCAATAACGAGATCGGACGGTAATTTTTTTGGTCTTCTGGGTCTGTGCCCTCTTTATGTATTAGAGTTATATTTGCCCTTTCCCAGGATTTTGGGAAGGTCTTGTTTTCTAAGATGTTATTTATAACTTTTTGGAGCAGGGGTCCTAGTTCGTTTTTGAATATTTTGTAGAAAGTCCCGGTAAATCCGTCAGGGCCGGGGGCCTTATTTTTCTTTAAGTTAGAAATTGCTGTATCTATTTCTAGCATGGTTACTGGGTTATTTAATAAGGCTCTTTCCTCTTCTGTAAGTTTTGCTAATTTTAACTTACCCAGATAGTTTGAGATTTGTTCTTCCGGGATTTCTATTTTTTGATATAATTTGTTGTAGAAGTCAGTGAATAGATTTGTAATCCTTTCTCCTTCCGTAACGGTTTTATCTCCTACCTTAATCTTTGTGATAAGACCATTTTGTTTTTGTTTTTTAAGTTTACTTGATAACCATTTGCCAATTTTGTTGGCATTTTGAAAGAAATTTGCTTTTGCGTATTTCATCTGTTTTTCTAAATTCTCGGTTTGCAATAACTCTATTTGCTTTTTTAACATTTCTATTCTAAATTTTGCTTTCTTGTCTTTCGGGTTTCTTTTTAGAGTTTTTTCCTCTGTCACTAGTCTGTCTGTTACATCTTTTAATTCCCTGTTTTTATTTTTTCTACTGCGGGCCTCCTGTTGGATAAGGTACCCCCTCATCACCGCCTTCATGGGGTCCCATTGTGTCTCTCTAGTAGTTTCTTCACCTTTGTTTAGGTCTAGGTATTCTTCCAGTAATTTCCTATTCTTTTCTATATCAGTTTCTCTTCTTAATAAATTATCTTTAAGGCGCCATCTGTATTTAAACTCATTTCCCTTTATCACTAATTCTATGGCGCCGTGGTCCGACATTAGCCTGGTTAATATCTTTGTTTTGTTTATTCTCAATAGTATGGCTTTGGTGGCCCAGGCCATATCTATCCTTGACCACGTACCATGTCTTCCTGAGTAAAAGGTGTAGTCTCTAGCATTCCCATTATGGTGTCTCCAGATATCTTTTAAGTTTAATTTTTCTAATTGCGTTATAAATTTTTTTGGTAGAAGACTTGATTTATTTTTGTTTTTGTTTTGGGGTTCTTTAGAGGATTTATCAAAATTGAGGTCAAGGACCCCATTAAAGTCTCCCATTAATAGGAGATCATCGTATTTTTGATTATCTGTTTCTTAAATTCTCTGATGAAGTTAAGCTTTGGGCCATTCGGACAATAAATGTTACAAATTAAAATCCTTTTGTTCTTTATTTCAATATTCACACCGATATACCTCCCCTCCATATCTTTAAAACTTTGTGTGGGGTTTAGCCAAGATTTTATATAGAGTACTACGTCTCTCTTCTTCTTGTCAGCCGATGCATAGAAGTATTTTCCCAGTTTTTCATTTTCTAGATGTTTTGTGTACTTGTTTAAGATATGCGTTTCTTGCAACGCTGAGATCATAGTTCCTTTGTTTTAAATAATTGAAGACACGTTTCCTCTTATTCGGGGAATTCAATCCATTAATATTGTTAGATTATACTCTTATGTCTCTATTCATGTGTATTATCTTGCATCTCCCACTGAGTTATGTCTTGGGGCATCATTAGCTGGTAGTTCTCAGGGGAGAACTCCTGTAGTCTTTTTTGTTCTCTTTCCTTTGGTCCTCTCTGTGTATTGCGTTCCTCCAGATCCTCCCTTCCTTCTTCTTCTGTTGCCTCCCCTTCTTCTGGGTGGGTTTTCTGGTCCTTTTCCTGTGTTCCTTTTTTATTTCCCTGGAACTGTCTTGAGTTTTCATATTTTGTGGCTTTGATGTGATTTGCATAGAACTGCTTTACTTTTTCTTCTGAGTTCAACCAATATCTGGTATCATTAAGGGTGACAGTAATTCCTTCCAGTTTCTCCCATCTAAATTTTATCTTTCTTTTTTTCAGTTCCTCAGTTAGAAAGATGTATTTTCTACGTTTTGCAAGCGTCTGCTTAGTGACTTCTTTCATGATGATTATTCTTTGATCTTTATAGTAAATAGGTTTTCTTGCATTTTCCTTTAGTATTACATCCCTAGTGCTTTTTCTGCAAAAGCTAATTACAACATCCTTTGGGGTCTTGTTCTTCTTAGCAAAGCTAGATGGTACTCTATAAGCTCTATCTAGGTCCTGCCCGATGATTTCAGGGCTAACA